ATCATTCTCTTTTGAAATCTAAACCCAAAGCACCACCACAGCAGCCCCCATGACTTTCCCACATCTGATAACCAAAAGCAAATGAACTGATGTCTTTGCTTGAAAAAAGCAGGCATCTGAGAACTCCAGGCAGCAGTGGGAATGTGGAACCATGCAGCAACTGAAAATGAAAAGCACGTCTGCTTTCTCTGGGGCTAGAGAAACACAGAGAAGCCTTGCTTTGCTAACTTAGTAGCAGAAGTCCAGGAGGTGTGCAAGGTCTCTGGGAAGCTAGTCCCACAGCACAGAGTGTCCATCCCTCCCTGCTGCAGGAGTGTGGGCCTCATGCCCTACTGCCCCGCGCTTCTGTCTTCTCAGCTCTCCCACTCGGACAGCAGGATGCCAGTGGCAGTGGCTTTGAAGTCAGACCCATCCAGGTCCACTCCTAGACCAGCCACTCCCCTGCAGTGGACACCGGCAAAGTACTTGCCACTCAGAGTCTTAATTTCTTCATCTGTGGAATGGTGGGTGATAGTTCCCACACAGCACCTCACAAGAGGTCTTCTTTGGGCACAAGTAGACAGTTAGACCCAAAGACTCTCCGATACTGGCAGGAGGGGCAGCATCTGAAACACCGCTGTGGAGGTCGTCCTCCAAGGAGACCATACGGCCCACAGGGGACCAGGGGCCAGTCTCTTTGACCCCCAGGAGACAGTTCAGGTGCAAGCGAGTGAGGCTCATACAGGCAGGTGCAGGGAGCCAACAACGAGTCGGCATTTCTTGTGACGGTCCCAGGCATCGCTTCCAAGGTTCCCTGCCAGGGACAGGCCCAGTCACAAGAGCCACAGGGGGCCTCCGAGTTCTGGCGGCCCACCAGGTGCGTACTCGTGTACCTCTGCGCCCAGATGAGACACACAGCTCAGAGCTGCCGTTGTGCTTGTCGCCTAGTAATGCAACCGACCTTCTGCCCAGATGAGGTTTCCAGGTGGTAGAGCTACAGACGCAACGGAACCCAAGTCAGTTTCTCACACAGAAAGGAGAAGGGTTGGGTCCACCCTTTACCACCAGCCTCCTCACAGATCTACTTGGGGGGTGAAGGGAGAGCCCAGGTCAAGTTCCTGACACAGGGACGCCATGCTATGCCACTTAAATGTGCTGTTTCCCACTCCCCTCACATCTCACCCCTCCGCTCCCCTCACACCTCATACTTCATTCCTCCCCTCCCCTCACTCCCCCCCCCATCATATCCCTCAGTCCTCTACAGGCAGTGGAAACCAGTGAGGGGCAGGGTAGAAAAGTCCAGGGGGCAGACCGTGCCCCGCCGCCACCGTCTGGCAGCGGTGTGGGCCCGGAGACCAGCCCTGCGGGTGACCAGCCATCCGCTTTGCCCAGGTCAGGACTTCCAGTTCTAAAATGGGGAAGTCCTGGGCACACAGGGCACCTCCCCCCCCCCCCCCCCGCTGCACGTACTGAGTTGGAGTCGGGTGAAATGCAACAGGCGGGCGTGTGCGGGAGCTGAAGCTTCTAGAGTCTGCTCACCCTAGAGGTCCCAGGCGCACTGACTCGGTGCCCAGGGCCCTGTGGGCGGAGGGTGGGGCGGGGCTGGAGGGGGCGGGGGCGGGGGGAGGGTGGTGGCACCGCAGGTGCACTGCGCACGCGCAGGCCCTGGTCAGGGGCCCTGGTCACCTGGAGAGCTGGACTCTGCGATTTAGCGCCCACTCAGCAACTTTCTTGGTGAATTCATCATTCTCTCTCCTTCCATTGGCCAGCCCTCCTTCCCTCTTTCTGGATTCTCGCGTTCCGCAGGTGAGCCTCAGGGTCCGGGTCTCCTGCTCTCCCCTCACCTTCCAGAACCTGCTTGTGAAGAGCTGATAAGCGGGAATCCCACCTGCCGCTTCCAGTACAGAAAAGCACGTTTGTTTCTCTTTTCTCACATTTAACCAGGACCTGGTAGAGGCCTGCCAAATTGGGGATCCCAACCAGCCGATTTGGGGTGCCCTCCAGGTTGTCTGAGAAGCCTTGGGGACTCCTGCAGATCCCGCACTGTGACCCTGGTTCCAGCTGAGGGGCAAAGCTGCCGGTCTCCAGAAGCCTGGCCTCCTCCCACCTCCCTCCCAACCCTTCTCCCGCCCCCTCCCCACCATCTCTCTGGGGCTGCCATTTCATCTGAAGTGGGGACCCCTGTGTCCTGCCCTCAGCCAAGCTCTGTGTCCTTCCTGTGGTCGCCGTCAGCCTTGGGGAACCTCACCCAGGCTGCGAATGATGCAGGGCCACGTCCTTACAGCAGTTCCATGGCCATCTGTCCCCTTTCCTCAGGTCTCCAGCCCTGAGAAGCCCGCAGGGGTGATAATGCACGGGCAAGCCGCGTTCCTGTCCTTCTCCCTCAGACACAGATGGTTCATTCCAAACGAAGCCCACAGTCTTAGTCATTTATCCAAAAAAAGTCTGAAGACACTTCCCCAGGCAGAGGCCCTGGGGCTCAAATGCCCTTTACCTGTCCCGGCTGCACCTTTCCTCTAGGCTGCTCCCCTAAGAAAGGTCTACAATACCTGCTTCCTCCTCCTTGCAGGCCTGGCACACGATTTTTCATGTGGTCACTTGGCCCCAGTCGGCTATCAATTAATCCTTCTGCTCGAGGATGCTCCTGGCAGCTAAGGTCCCTGCAGGCTCGCTGTGCCAGGCACAGCACCAGGCACTTGAGAGCTAAGTGACTCGTGCAACAGCAGGGAGGGGACTGCTGTTCATCTCATTTTGCAGGGAGCTGGGTTAAGTGCCTAAGATCTTGGCGCATAAGAGGCAGAGCTGGACACAGCCCAGGCAGGCGATCTGAACTACATGTTGCTTCTGCCTGTCACGCACCGCCTGAACGCTGCATTCACTGTGTGCCCAGCGCTGTGCACTGCCTACCCTACAGCCACTAATTTATGCCTAAACAGCTCTTGATATGGGTACTATTTTCACTACCCACACCCACCTTTTATGAGAAGTTAAGTGATTTGTCCAAGATTCCATCCAAGAAGCACCGGAGATCTGAGTTGCCCCACTGCGCCCCCTCTTGGCCGATACCCCGCCCTGCTGCCTCTGACCGCTCCATGTCTATTGCAAGCCCCCTGCGCCACCCTACACAGCCACCTTTGAGGAAGTAGATTTTAATTTTTTTCCTTTGCATTATGGCTTATTACAAGATACTGAATATAGTTCCCTATAGTCTATAGCAGGACCTCGTTGGGTTTAAAAAAATCTTTTTCCCATTATGGTTGGGAAATACACTCTAAAACAAAATTTTCTCCCGACCGAGACAATCTCTTCACTAAGGTAGACAAGAAAGAAAACAATTTTATTATCGAAAGAGCATCAAACCAGAATGTGATGTGCATCACAGGCCATCCGCTAAGAGATTTGCAAAGACAGAAAAGAATCTCACTTCTTGTTAGCCAAGGAGATACAGCCCAATTCGTACAGGTCCTTGGGATAAACGATAATTTGTTGTCACGTAAGAGAACTTGGCAGCACTATTTATTACTTATAGGTCACCCTAAATCCACCTGGCCATCGGAGTGACCCTCTGTGTTTGTTCATTTGTTTCGTACAAAGAAAAGTGGAATTTCTCCTATTTCTATGACAGGAGGTGGTTTTGCAACTTGGAGCCGGGAGACCAGGAAGTTAGGCTCCGACCCTCCCACAGGAACTGGGAGACAGGCTTCTATTTTCCTTGGGTGTTTGCATGCCAAAGAGATGGCTCCCAGGATCTTCAGAAACCCGTTCCTGGGTCAGAAAAGCAGCAAAGGGCCTATATAGCTTTTAAAAGAATCAGCATATATTTCAAAGAGATGAAGAAAGAACGACAAGTTTTCTAAAGTAGGAGCTCTCAGAAAAGGGTGGGGGAAGTCTCTTCCATCATTTTTCACAGGGAGGATTAAGTCCTGTAGTCTAAATTTCTATTTACTCCTGCACCACTCCATCAGGCCTATTTATTGCACTCTTCCCCGGCCAGCTCCTTCCGTTCTCTCCTCCTGCACCCCCCGCGGTACCCCATCCTCAGAGATCTGACCAGGACCCTCCTTGGCTCTAAACACTCCAGGGACCCCCTCACTTCCCACACAGAGATGCCATGTCCTGGAGTCCAAGGCCCACAGGGATATGGCTCCAAGTCACCTTCTGTCCTGGGTCCTCACTACCCCCTTCAGGGTGTGCACTGGGCCAGCCAAACCCGACCACTCCCACTCCCTTCACCTGACTCTGTCCTTGGGCTATGGTCCTGAGACTCCCTCCGCCTGGAGGAGCCTTCTTCCCACCTCTGCCATCTGCGATGGGTCATTCCTTGGCCACCTATACAGCCTCAGTCTCCTCCACAGTAGGATGTGTTTCCTCCTGTTCAGGGTCTGGGTTCATCCCTTACCCCTTGAGCTTTGGAGTCAGACTTGGATTTGAATCCTGACTCTGCCACTGCCCACCTGTGGGGCCTGGCCAACTCCCCCAGCTTCCAGAGCCTCTGTTTCAGCATTTGTAAAATGGTTATGAAAATGCCCACCTCCTGGGGTTTCCAGGAGAATCGGACTAGGTAAGGTGAGATGATCCAGTGCAATGCTAGTTTCCCTTCCCCTTCCCCTAGTAAACTCCAAGCCTGTGATAAATGTTTGCTGGACTCAGGAGGTTTAGAACTTCATTTATTACGTGGTGAAAACTTGAGCCTCAGTGCTGAGAATTTATAACATTCTGATGGTCCTGCCTAGAAATCTTATTTTTGCTCTTTGTACACATTATTAAGTTTTTAATTCCAAGCAGCTTTTCTGCTTTGGGTGACTGCTGGCATGCTGGCTTGTAAAACGAGAGGCTTTCATTCATATTGTATGACATTTCTGCAAGTGAAACCCAAGTCCCCCACTCATAAATAATCCACCTGTTCTTGCCCTCCTCAAAGGGTATTTTCCTGCACAATCTGAAGGGACCACAGCCACCTTGAAATCTACAGAAAGTCCATGTTGCAGATTCACTTAATTGTATCAAGTCTTGGCCCATGAACTATGTCTGGGATGGAGCCGACAGCTAAAGGACGGACTGAAAAAAGTTTCAGCTACGTTGTCAGAGCCCCCAGCAGCGATGGGTTTGATATAATGAACGTCGATGTGAAGATCGACACGTCCTGGATCTTCCAGGATGTAGAGGAGACTGGTGAGGAGCCGGGATGTCTTCCAGAAGAAGCAGCTAGAAGCCCAGACGTGGACACGGGAACACTCAGGAAGCAACTGGAATCCTCAGAACAGAAGCTGTTGGTAGCTGTGGACAAGTACGTGATGTCAGAGTCTGGGCTGAGGAGCAGGTAAATATACCATTTGGACCTCTTCTTTGTGTATGTACGAATCCTGGGGCATCCTAATTGTGTCAGGATGGAGCGTTGAATCATTTCTGTGACTGAGGATGCAGGCAAAACAGTCAGTGTTCCATAACCCGCCACAGCAGTCCCTGCTCCTTCTGTCTTTCCCTTCCTCTGCTCTGTATCATAGGGGCTGAGCCTATTTCCCAGGCTCCCTCACTCACTGGCTTCCATCTGGGTCCAGCCAATGGGAGACGCTGAAGGGAGGACGACGGGAGAAGCCAGGGTATTCTCCCCTTCTCTTCTGCTCTGGGTGACGTCTCTGACTATGGCTGCCATTCAGTCATGCTTTCGGCTTCCTCTGTGGTCCTGCTTCTGGGCCCCAGTATCACCACCTGCTCCCTGTCTATCCCTCCAGCCCCAGGGGCAGAAGTGGCTCCCAGCAGCTGCTAACCTCTGGGTTGCCTGTCATCTCTGTCTGGCCTTTCGTCTCTTCCATCCCTATGTTTGATTGATTCTCGCCGCCGAACCTTCTGGTGTAGGCTCTATTTTCCTGATGGAACCGACATGGTCCAGAGGTGGGGCGTTTGAATCCAGGTCTTTCTCCAAAGCCCATGCTCTGTTTTGATACCTAGGCCAGTAGAATGAGGTGGGGTCTTGCATACATATCAAAGGAGAAACCAGCATGGAAATGCAGTACGGTTATGGCTGGGGTCTGACAGGTTTACCAATATGCCAACAGCCAAGTATCTTAAATTTGTCCGACTTCACGCTTTTGGTGTGTTTTCCTTCATTTTAGTAAGGGCGAGTCAGTAAATGTGTATTTACATGATCTATACTTTTTCTCCTCTTTGTAAAACTTTTCACGTGAAAAAATTCACATATGAGAAAAATTATTCTGTCACCTTCAGTATCAGTCTATGTGATTGTCCACTCACTCATTCATCCATTTATTCATTCATTCCCTCATTCATTCCCTCATTCTACAACGTGCACTTAGCCCTCGGGAATCACATACTGTTTGTTGTATGAGTCTGCTGGGGCTGCCATAACAAAGCACCACAGACTGGGGTGCTTAAACTGGGGTCTTGAACAAAGCACCACAGACTGGGGGGCTTTATTTTCTCATAGTCCTGGTGGATGGAACTAAAAGATCAAAGTGTAGACAAGGTTGTTTCCTTCTGAGACCTCTCTCCTTGGCTTGGTGATGTCTGCCTTCTCTCTGTGTCTTCCTGTGGTCTTCCTTCTGTGCATGTCTGTGTCCTAATCTCCTCTTCTTATAAGGACACCAGTCATAGTGGATCAGGGCCCACCCTAATGACCTCATTTTAACTAAATTACCTCTTTAAAAACCCTGTCTCCAAATACAGTCACATTCTGAGGTACTAGGGTTGGCTAACTTCAACATATGAATTTGGGAGGACATATTCAGCCCAAAACATGAGTTCTAGGGGTTGAGAGCTGGAAAGGCAGGGCCCCAGCCCTGGAGAGATAGAAGTATAGCTCACGCAAGGTTGTACATGGCAGTGAAAACCAGATGGTCACAAGGCCTGGGAAAGATGGGTGGGAAACCAGAGGAGACCCCTCTATGTGAGGGAGAGACAGGCAGCCTGGAGGCACCACGAGTGGCGGAGAGGAGGGGCCTCTGTGGCTGGGGCCTGGGGTGAAGCCATCCTGGAGGCGGTGTCCTGGACCCGCCTGTGGAGAAATGTGGGCTGTGTCCTCAGTTCTCTGAAGGTGGGACGCACCATCCTGTAGAAGCAGGGCTTTGGGAGGGGAGGCCCGATCTGTGGCAGGGGTTGGGAGAAAAAAGAGTTAAGGCTTACCAAGAGCCTGTGGTGCAGGGCACAGTGCTGACCTCCCCCCACCATGCCTCCATCGCTGCTCCCTTGAACCCTGTGGCACATAGAGTGATATGATCCCCTTTTCCAGATGAGGAAACTGAGGCTCAGTGGATGAAATACATTACTCAGTGTCACGGAGAGCTGAAGCCAGGGTCTGAATGCACAACTGTGAATATAGATTTCAGGCTAATTTCACCATGGGTTTGCTCTAAGTAGGGGATAGTACAAGACTGATAGTGTACATTGGATTTCACTTCAGTTAAAGAGTTAATGTTTAAAAGTATTTATGGCAAAACTAATGCAACCACGACGTTAGAAATTTGAGAATGAGAACCCCACTCCCACCTCCGTAACACTATCATTGCTGCAAATTCATTTACAATCTAAATGCAACAAAATTAATAATAGCTGAACACTTGTTGAGTGTTTCCTCTGGGCTAGGCACTATTTACATGCTTGATGCGTATTAGCAGACTCAATCCTTAAAAATAAATTACTAGAAATGAAGTAATAGCAATATCTTCAATTTCTAGATGGGGAAATGAAGGTGCTGGCTTAAGTAACTTCTCCGTGGTCACACACCCGGCTACATGGGGGCGCTGGGACCACCCAGGCAGCCTGCCCGATTTATCCTGGTGGATATTCCCTGATGGAGTCTCCCAGTTCCGTAGCACTCTTTGCAGCTCTACACTGTAATATATATATTTTTAACTTGTCATTAATCAGTGAAAAATGGTACTTCATTGTCTAGTTCCTGTTTATGTGTGTATATGTTTCCTATGGCTGCTAAAACAAATTACTGCAAACGTGCTGCCTTCAAACAACGCACATTCATTGCCTTTCAGCTCTGGAGGCAGAAGTCCTAAAGCAGTCTCACTGGGCTACAGTCACGGTGTCCGCAGGGCTGTGCTCTCTCCAGAAGCTGTAGGGGAAACCTGTGTCTGCCTTTTCCAGCATCTATAGCTGCGTTCCTTGGCTTCTGGCCCCTCCCCGTCTTCAAGCCAGCAGGGTAGCATCTTGCTTCAGTGGTCACATGGCCTCCCCTTCTGCCTCCCTCTCATGAGGACAGTCGTAATTGCGGTTAAGCCCACCCAGATAATCCAGGATAATCTCTCCGTCTCAAACTCCTTAACTGAATCACATCTGCAGTCTCTTTTGCATCTTAAGGTAACATTCATTAAGTTTCGGGAAGCAGGGCATGGATATATTTGGGGGCTGTTATTCAGCCTGCCACCATGAAAGTAGTCATTTTCTGCCTAGTTTGAGTATAGGGATAATACCAGAATTAAATATTGTCCCAGATTTAACGTTTCAGATTGGTCTCAAAAACTAAAAAGTTAAACTTTTCTTTTCCCATTCAGATATCACCACGTTTTATAATCAATCAGAAGGCACTCCACCCAAGCCTCTGACTGACGAATGTGCGGCCGCTCCTCTGGTTCATTTTGGAAGGAACTTAATTTTAATCTACACAAGAGGGCCCCCTCCCTTCTGTCACTTTAGAGACCCTCCCCCAGGGCCTCAAAACTAGAGCAGAAGAGGGGACTCTTGGCCCTATTATTAATAAGAGTGACTCACTTTATTTAATCTTCACAATAACCCTCTGAGCAAGGTGCAATTACCTGTTTTACGGATGAAGATACTGAGGGTCATAGTGGTGAATGAGCCCAGTTAAGGTCTCATGGCAGGTAAGTGGCAGAGCCAGGAGGCAAAGCTAAGTCCTCACCCAGGGAAGCAGAGTCTGTCCTGGATGAGCAGGTCACCTGGTGTGGAGCTGGGTAAAGGAGTGAGGCTGTGCAGAGCTTGTCCATGTAGGCTGAGAATGCCCTTGCCACGTGTTTCACGGTCTTCTATTATAGAAGTAAGATTGGCACATTGAGGGGACTTGGATACTAGGTACAAGCAGGAGACAGACAAGTGAGTCTATGTGGCTCCTCTGCTCCTCATGGGACCACTAGGCAGATGTTCCTTCTGGCTTCCCTCCATTCACATGCGCTCCTCCTTTCTATATAGCTGAGGTCAGGGTTCACTTCCAGCCTGGGTATTACTTTGCATATTGCACAACTTCAGCACTTTCTGAAGTGTTGAAGACTTCAGGTGGCTTAGCCATCCCTAACTGGTAGGTCATTTCCAACGTCTCACTTTTGTAATCCAGAGATTAATTTTTTAAACTGCAGAAACCTTTTTTCTGCATTTCAGTCATTTCCTTAGAAAAGATTTGCAATAATTTAGCTTAAATGGGAGGCAACAGAGCACAGGGTTAAAGCATGAGTTTGGGAGCCATGCAGCCTGGACTCTATAATGGTCTGTGACCTTGGGCAAGTTGCCCGGCCTCTCTGATCCTGTTTTCTCATGTGCGAAGTAGGGGGAAGGGAATCCACCTGTAAGGATTAATTGAGACAATGCAGATGTATGGTTCAGATGTTTGGTTCAGTCCTTTTTCATTGGTATGACCTGAACTGGGGATTACTGGTTTAGGGATGAGAACATTGTTGAGATTCCCAGTGACTTATTATTCAAAAGAGGTCTCTGAAGTATTTTAGATCATCTTCAAAAAGATAGGTATGAATGTTTTACAAAATGTCATTTTGTCAGAATATCAAATTGGCCAAATAACAGAAGAAAAAAAGAAGATCCTGGTGTCTGTGAAAAGCTTAGGCCACACTTACCGCATCCTGAGTAAGCGCCTTGCTGCTTCAATGTGCAGAATTCAGGAGCTGGAGCTGTCGGAGAGGAAACTCCTCCAGAAGGTGGACCAGCTGAGCGCCCTCGTGTTCCAGGAGAGAAGTGCCTCTCTCCGGGCCCAGGAACAGCTGGAGGCGCTGCAGGGGGAGCTCGCCAGCCAGGTACCGAGTCCCTCCTCCTTCTTTCCAGTACTTGTTTCTTGTCCCAGCAGAGTCACCCCATAGGTTTGGATGTGGTAGCAGCTGCCCTTGAACATAGACAGTGGGGCGGGCCTGGAGAGCCTAGTCAGGAGGGGTAAGAGAGGTCCCAATTCTAACAGTGCAGGCAGGGGCCGCTGGACCTGGGCAAGGTCACGTGGCCTCCCTGGGCCTCGGCTGCCCCATCTGTAAAACGGGGCTCCCATCCTGTCCTGCCCGCCTCATAGGGCTCTGGCTGGGATCCACTGGGTGGCATGCGGGGGCTGTGCACTTGCTCGGAGCTCTGGCCAGAGGTTCCTTTCTGTGGACTTGGTGCCTGACAGGGGAGCTGGCTCTGGCCTAAGGACAAGGAGAGGACTGATGCAGGGTCTCTGCCCTCAGGAGCTGGCTTGAAGGCAGGGACACAGATGGGAAACAAGTAACTCCAAAGCTGGATGCTGGGAGCCATGGGGAATGTGGTGTGTGGTGGGGAGACAGAGTTGGTGAGGCAAGAGGGTTGCAGGGAGGACAGGTCGCCAGGGCCCTGGCATGATCCAAATTCTGGAGGCAAGGGGGAGCAGGACTTAGGGGGACCTTAGCAGGAGAGGCTCATAGTCAGGGTTTAGGGGGATATCACTCTAACTGCATGGGAGAGAGAGGTGGCAGGGGCAGGGGGCAAGTTAGAGCGCGATTGGAGAGGGAGTGGGTGGTTAAGAGGATAGGCTCTGGAAGCAGATGCCTGGAGCCAAACCCTGGCTCTGCTACTCATGAGCTGTGTGATCTAGGCCAAATGACTTAACCTCTCTGGACCTCAGTTTCCTCATCTGTGAAATGGGAATGACACAGTACCAACCCCGTTCAATTGTTGTGTGGGTAAAGGAAGGTAATACGTGTAAAACACTCGCAATGGTAGGCACTTGGATAGCCCTAGCTGCCTTCGTAATTACTAGTCTTTACTGAAATATTCCAGTGGAGAGATGGAGGGCAGAGACTTGGCAGGCAGAGACCCAAAGATCCCGAGAGGCATCCAGTTTCAGTAAATTGCTACTCACGGCGCAGCACAGCGACTGTTAAATTGCAGGTTGACACCCGTAAGTGGGTTGTGAAATCAATTCCGTAACTCACAACCAGCATTTTAAAAATGGAGTTGACTAGGAATTATGAAAGGGCATCACGTGTACGAAGGGGAGTGCTGTTTCCTGAAACTTCTGTTTCAGTTGTCAACACGTGCATATGTATAACGGGGCATGTTCTTAAATGTATTTTTTACCATGGGAAGTAGTCCAGAATGTTTGAAAAACACCAGATTGATTAGCTTTCAACTGAAATAGAAGTGAAGCATGGAAAGCTAAGAAGTTCCATTAAATTGAAATTAGTCTCTGAGATGCCAGGGAGACATGCAAGTGCCACTTTTCCCCTTTGCATTGAACTTCAGGTGCAGAAAGTTGAGTTCATCCTCCTTGGTTCACAGCACATCATCGTCAGGGTCTGAGAGTTTTTAACCCGAGGTATAGTAGTGTTATGTGGGATCCCACCATCAAGAATATAATCTCTCCGTGGAAAATCCTGTAATTAATACTTTTTGTCATGCCTTATATACATATAGGGTTTCCCAGGTGAATAGACACAGTCCTGTAATCACCAGAGGTTCCTAGTATGACGGGGAGACAGAGGATGAGGGTGACAAGCAAGGGAAATGCCATGAGCGAGCTCGGGGCACTGCAGGACCTGCAGTTATGTGGCCCACACACATTTCTTTATTGCATTCCCTTGTAATCTGTATGCTCCTGGGAATGTCCTGTCACAAAACCGCATTTCCAGATGAAGGGCAAGATTTCAGAGAGGTGAGGGGTCTGGCTTGGGTCCCCTCGGAGACCACTTGGCCCAGCTTCAGCCCAGCCCAGACACTAACCCTTGATCTGTCCCCAGAGCTATCTGCATTTCAGAGCATATTTTGCAGGAGTGCATGACCTCTGCCCTTTGTACCTGATATCTGCCAAATGGCAATTTGCCCCACTGTTGTCAATATTTGCAGTAAGCATTTGCGTACAAAGACACCTCACTTCTGTGGTGACCCGTGGTCATTCCCAGAGGTGATAAAGGTAGACCCATCCAGGTGATGGGGCACCGTGCACCTAGCATCACCGATTACAGGATTCATACCATCGGGAAGACCCCGAGCAATTTTCCTCGCAGGGAATCTAACTCCAGTTTTATCTGCCCCAATTCCCCCCAAAACACGCTGTCAAACAAAGCCTGCCGGGCTGTTCCCAAGTTTCCTCTTTCACATTTGCTCTTGCTTGTTTGTTTTGTCTTCTGCAAGCTCTCGTGGCTGTGACTGAGTACCAGCAGCAGGCACTAGCAGTTGACAGAGAGCTTAACATGAAGGCAGTTCTACCCATTTGCATAAATTAATTCTGAAAATTGGGCAAGGACGCCCATTTTTGCAGTGCATGGGTCACCCCAGTCCAGCTCATGGGTCGGGGGAGGGCAAGGTTTAAGAACAGGGAGATGTGTTCCTTGGACAGGCAGCGGGCCAAGCGGAAAAAGGAAAGGTCTTGAGTCAAGTACGTGGTGGTTCAGTGACTTTTAGTCGTGTGACATTGTGCAGGTCACTTCTGAGTAGCTCCACAGGACGTATTCACAGGAAGGAACAACTGCTGTGACACTGGTGGTCCTGTCTCACCAGCCAGAAGCCATGGTCAGCTGATCCTTACTGGTTCAGGCATTAACCCTGTAGGCACTGGGAAATGGAGAGGTCTGGGAAGTTCTGCAAGTGGGGAAGTGGGGACACTCAGGGGGGTCCAGGTGGCAGCTCTTTACAAACTGGTGTGGGGGAATCACATGTTGGAACCACTGGCCCTCCCAGTGTGCACCAGCCCATCCCCCTCCTGCCCGTTGCACAGTTTCCTTCCAAGAACTCGGGGAGCTCACGGGTGTGCAGGGCCCACACTAGGGGGAAGTAAGGTGCTCGTCTCCTGGGCAAACTTTAAGGGGGCACCAAAAGACAGTCATCGAGATCAATAATATTTTGCAGCAGTGTTTTAATGCAAAAATTAATGCAAAAAGAAAAGGCGCGCTGAACAACAAAATATCGAAGTTTCAAATAAAGACAGGCTCAATGCGAGCTACGGTGCGTCCCCGGCCGCCTTCCTGACGCCCTCCTCCACCGCCAACCCGTAGGTTCAGGAGAAGGAGCGCGCGGCCCGGCGGCAGCGGTGGCGGCTGCGGCGGCTGCGGGAGCGGCTGCGGCGCAAAGACGAGGCGCTGGGGCTGCAGGCGGCGGCCCTGGAGCGCGGTCGGCGGCTCCAGCGGCGCCAGCTGCGACTGGTGCGCGAGCAGGAGCGCATCCTGCGAGCGCAGGTGCAGCGGCTGGAGTTGGACGTGCGGCGCCTCTGCCACGCCGCGGGCCTGCTGCTGGCCGAACTGGACGCCCCGAACCAGGGTGGCCCCCGACTCCCGGGCCCGACCAGTCCCCGAGGCGCTCCCGAGGAGGCCGCGGAGCCGCGCGCGCTGCGGGCCAGGGCCGAGCGCGGCGAGCGCGAGCGGGACCAGGCGGCGCGCCGGCTGCGGGAGCAGCGCGCCACCGAGCGGCTGCTCCGCGGGCAGCTGGAGGAGCTGCGCTGCTGCATCTATGGACTGAAGCTGTCGGAGATAGGCCTGCAGGGCCAGGTGGAGGAGCTCGCCCAGCAAAACAGGTGCCTGCGAGAGGAGCTGGGAGCCCAGGCCCCCCGAGAAAGAGCGCTCAGCACGGCCCCTGCTGGTCACGGTAGCCTGGTAAGTGGCCGCAACCCAGAGCACGAGTGATTTTCTGCTTTTCTCTAACTTTCTGCCGCTTGGTCAAGTCACGGGCTCCATCATTCCCCCGTTTTCCTCTTCAACCACCCCTGCAACCCACCAGCCCCCTTCACCCACCCTTCATTTCGTCCACGCATCTACCCACCTGGTGGTGCCCATCCACCCCTACAGCTTCACTCACCCGTTCACCAAGCCAGCCACCTCCCCACCACCTGTCCACCTGCTCAGCCACCGTCCACCTGTCCATGCCCTCATGCACCGTCTTGTCTACCCACCCACCCACCCCTCTACCCACACTCCATCATCTCTTTCACCGGACCATCTGCTTGTCCATCTCTCCTTGCAGCCACTCTCCAGGCAGCCATCCAGTTACCCTTCACCCCTCCTCGTCTGTTTCCTCCTGTCCATCCATCTATCTGACCTTTGATGGGTCCCTGCCTGTGCCAGGCCCCGTGCTGGGCGAGCTCCTCCACGTGCAGTATGGCATTAACTGTCATGGTCTTGTGACTTCCACCCCGATCCGCCCCTCCCTGGGAAAGCCATCACCCTTTCCCAACTCCCTCACAGTTCCAAAGGTGACCACGGTCCCCAGCGTGCCGGTGCTGTATGTGCATCTTCATTTCTCCTTCTTTAGACTGTGAGCCCCTTGAGGGCAGGTCAGATGGCTTCTGTAGCGGCCGCCCCAGCAGCAGCACACAGGAGGCCCTCAGGACTGTGCAGTAGAGAACAAGCAGGGTTCAGCTCCTTTCCAGTTCTCCTATTTGCTAGCTGTGGGACCCCAAGCAAGTTTCTTAAGCTCTGGAGCCGAGAGCAGGCTGGGCACTGATGTTATCACCTAATTGATAGACGAGCAAAAACTTAACGTTTAATATACTCCTGCCATGTGCTTGGCACCCTACGGTGTTTTCAAAGGCATCATTTAATGCTCATAAAACTGTAAAGCAGGTACTATTAGTGTCCGCACTCCACAGAGAGGAGGCTGAGGCTCAGAGAGGCAGTGCACTGACCTGTTGTCACACAGCTCAGAAGAGGCAGAAGTAGAATTGGATCCAAATTGGATGTGAGTCCAGAGTGCTTTGTTTCTTCCGCACCAGGCTGCCTCCCTGAAAAGGGAGAGTTAACTCAGCTCCCTCCAAGACATCAAGATCCCACTGGGTTAATTTGCATTTAAGGAAAAATAAGGGAGCCACCTTAGCCCAAAGAAGATTACTCATTAAAAAAAAAAATCAAATTTATCTTTGGACCTGGACAACCTATTTCAAGTTAACTGGAACTTTAGTCTTCTCAAGATAATGAAGCGTATCCTGCCTAGATCATTTTAATACTGAGTTTATCTGTGGTTATATTTTATCTTTTTAGTACTTCATTCTACTCATGTTACTTCTGCGTGTCCTGTTCGTTCTTCCTCCATTATGTTCATCAGGTAAAAGGAATACAGTGTACCTTTCATATTGGCACCTTGTTGTAATTTCAGAAAATAAATCGTGTAGAGATGGAAATTGTCATTTAGAATCCTTTCTGTAATTTTCCTAAACGTAAGATTTTAATTTAGGCTGTTGGCTTACATCCTTATTCTCCCAATCTTTCTGCCTTCCCGTGCACTGCTACTCTTTCTTTTATCTAAGGAAAAGGGTGAATACCTAAATATTTTAGAGATGCCTCCTAATGTTTTGTACGTTTTGTGTTCTCTCATTTAATCTTTAGTACAGCCTTGCAAGCCAGGTGCTATTATCCCACTGACTAGATGGAGAAACTGAGACCCAGGAGGTTAAGTGACTTGACCACAGGCATGCAGCTCCAAAGTATTAGGGCCAGCAAGGGGACATGGGCCAGATCAAGGCTGTGACTCCAAGAGGCTGTCCTTACCTTAAGATGCTGGGGCCAGCGTTGGTTCTTGAGGAGTTTGGGGCAGTGGCAGTGGCTGCGTTTGGTGGCTTGTGTGCCATCAGTTATAAGCCCCTTGTTGACATGCATCTGTGACCTTCTCGATGTTTCATGCCTTATTATTTAAAAGACCCAGTGCCCAAGGAGAACTGCATGCTCTCAAGACCTTGCTGGAGGCTGCTGTGCACAGTCAAAAGTCTCTCAAAAATTCCCTAAATTTCCCATAAAGTGTGGTCCCCAGCCAATTCTGCCTCTATAGCATCCGGAGAAGCCAGTCTGTTATCAGATGAGTAGCAGAGGAAGCAGGGGCCCGTGGAATAGAAAATGCTGATCCTTAAACATGGGAGCCATACACACTGGGGTGAGATGCTCATGCTCTAAGATGGCAGGTGGGACCCGGAGTGGACAGAGGCAGTGGATTCCGCTGGGTGAAGGGGTAGTAGCACTTGCTGTCTTCTGAGTGTGTCAGAGTGAAGAGCCCATGGGAGCGTGAATGCAAGAGCCCTTTAAAGATGGAACAAATGTCAGTTACCATTTCAGCATAGAGTGTCATGGGACGGTCACTGATGCTGGCTTTTAGCAATCTAAAATGGCAGCCTGTGAGCATCCGGGCTGGGAGAGTGATATTAGCAAGGGCTTGCTTTGGCCGTCGGCGTCCATGTCATCGTGGTTTGTGCATTTCCTGTGTGGCTTGCTCTCACTTCCGGGAAGTGGCTCCCATCCCCTTGCTCATGATCTCTCCAAGGGAGGCTCGGCACCAGGGCGACCAGCTTCTTTCTCCAGCCAGATATTAGCAGTTCTCCCAGATGGAGACAAGCAGGGCCGAGTCCCCCCAGCTGGTGGGCCTGGAGCCTGGCCCTGCCTTCTAGGAGCCCTGGGAGCCTTGCCAGTCGTCTTATTTCTATGCCTTAATATCCTTATTGAGCAAATAGAAATGTAGGTACTCTGAGAGTTTCCTGGGGCTACGCTAGCAAAGAACCACAAACTGTGTGGTTTCAACAATAGTCCTGGAGGCTGGAAGCCCGAGATCGAGGTGTCGGCAGGGTCGTTCCTTCCGAGGCCTGTGAATGAAGATCTGTTCCGGGCCTCTCTCCTTAGCTTGTGGGCGGCTGTCTTCTCGCTGTGTCTCACTGTCTTCCTTCTATGCACCTCTGTGTCCAAATGTCCCCCTTTTATAAGGACACCAGTCATATTGGACTAGGGCCCACCCGAATGACCCCATCTTAATTTAGTCAATTGTGTCTCTATTTCCAAATCAGGTCATGTTCTGAGGTCCTGGGAGTTAAGAGTCAACTTAGGAAGTTTTGGGGGGGGGACACAATTTAACTCATAACAAGTGCCCTCCTGGATGCACCATTATGAGGCCCCGTGAAACAGTAGAACTGTCGGTTCTAGTTCCTTGATGTGCTTCTTCGCCGGCTTCATGGGGGTACAAAACGATTCCTATATTTATGAGGGAGTCTTTGCACTAGACGCCATCTCTGGTGCTCTGCATCTGTTGTCCACTCATTTTGTCCTTCAACGACCTTCAAGGGAGGAACTATTTTACCCCCATTTTACAGATGAGGAAGTGAAGGCCCGGAGAGTCCCAGGGTCCCACAGATAGTAAGTGGTGGGGCAGGATTTGCGCCCCGGCAGGCTGACCCTGAGATGAGCCTGTGAGTGCCATGCTCTGTTCCTCCGGTAACTAGTGGTCACTGGGTCCAAAATCAGCATTTAACGGGTGCCGTACAACGAGGTGTACTCGGGCCTGAGCGTGGTACCAGGGCTGGGAAATGAGACAAGACCCCTGCCTGCACGGGATGACAAGACTGCCTGGAGAAAGAGGGTGCAGACAGAGGAAGGGGGAAGGGGCCCGACAATCTGTGGGTCACTGTTGGGGATCTTGGTGTTTGGAATGGGGAATGGACCATTCCCCATGACAGGGCCACAGGGTATGTCAGAGTCTTCCAAACTGTCCTACTCTCAGCGGGCACTGACAGCCCCGACTCTGAGCACCTTGGAGTCGAAAAGGGCCACCTTGAAAGGAAGAAATCCTCCAGAGAGCGCGCTGGAGAGATGGGAAATGCCAGTCAGTCACCAGGTCATGGGGCAGCATGGCTTGCAATTTTAAAGTTAAAATGCTAGAATCTATTGATAACAACACTGTAAAGCCAGATGGTGTCCCTCAGGTCTTGGTCTGGCCTGTGGCCATGGCTGTGCATGTATGAGATTGTACTCAGTGTTCTGAGAGCATTGCATGCATGCATGCACGATTTCCCAAGGCTGACAGTGCATTTCCAAAGGGGCAGGACCCAGAATGGTTAAGAGCCACGCGGCAGATCTTCAGTGCCCTTCTCTGGATAACGGTGTAACCCCCAAATGATCTCTTTTCATAAGCCCCCAGCAGCTCCATCGCCTTGGGATACAGCTCCACTTCCTAACCTCGGCATTCAAGGACCCAGCTGCTCTAGCCGCTGCCTCCAGGCTCACTGCCCACCCCTTCCTCCCACCCTGTGGTCCTGCAGGTCCCTAAATATGCCAGACTCCTCCAGAATGCTTACTTTCCCTGTGTCTAGAGACTTCTACCGTCTGCTCCCCATGGCCCCTTGGTAAACCCCTGCTTCTTTCTCTCCATTTGGTGAGAATGTCTCTTCCTCCAAGAAGACTCTTCTGATTTTACGCCAGCTCCTTCCCTCCTTGGTGCCCCCATCATAATATGACCCACCTCTGGTGACCCTAATTCTCACTGTGCTGGGCCTGGCTGCCCACCGCCCCCGTAGCTGTTCCTTCATCGTCATCACCAACTGGGTCCGATTCAGCCATAAATCCCAGCCCCTGTCCACAGGCTGTGGAATACTTGGTGAGGAAGTGACTCAGTGAATAAATGGCCAAAAGAAGATATTTGCTCCACTGCCCATGGGAAATGGAAACTTCCAGACGAAGGGACCAGCCTAAGATGGCAATGCTGGGAAGTGAGGTATAGAAATTGGGAAATGAGAGGGAGGTCTAGCCCCAGGGAAGTGTGTATCATATTGAAAATCATTGCAAATTATTAGGGTGCCTCCAACCCAAACCAGCCCCTTGGTTACATCTGATGTGTGTCATGGTGTGATTTATGGTGAGGGTAATCGTTATGAGAAGATATTTTGATTCCTATTTACACAGCACTTCCCCAAACAGGATCTCCTTGATACTGGGAGGTAGCCAGGCAGAGATCAATGATTTTGTCCCCAACCCCACAGAGGAGGCACATGCCTTGCCCAGGATCACACAGTTTATAGTTTCTAGAACAAGTTGCTTGGAGCCCAGGTCCCCACAGGAATGGCCATTGCGAGGACAAGCGCCCAACTCGGGGAGGAGTTTGGGGAGAGGGTTTCTGGTCAGAATCCCAGGTGAAAGAAAGTTTAAGAGGACTCTGGTTTGCAAGAGAAGCAAAGCCTCTCTGCAGATGTGTCCAGATGCTTTTTAGCAAGCGTGCACTGGGCATCCTGTATGTTCCAGACACCGTGCCGACCACTGGGGCTGGGGAGGCGATCCTTCTCTTCAAAAGTTTATAGGAGAGATAGACACAGGGGCAGAAAGGGCAATTTGGGGGATGACCACTACAGCAGGGGACACCCTGGGGCAGTGGCCTGGCCTGGAGGGTAACAAGGAGGCTCGTATAAAGAGATTAAAAGTCACTCTCTCATGATGTCAGTGTCAGACTGTCATCCCAGAGCTGCGACCCCGCTCCTTGTGACAGTGGCCTCAGGAATGCGGGCTGCTCAGGCCAGCTTCTCGACCCCAGCGATATGAGTAGAGCGACCCCTGGTGGCGAGTATGAGAATCTCTTGATTGTTTCCTGAGTCCAGGCAGCCCGTTCCTGCTCAAAGCTTGCACCTGAGCAGAAGTGCCCGTTACACATTTGTCACTCACTCCTGCAGCGAGCAAGGGCTTTAAAGCAGTTTCGATAATGTCAAAAAACAAAACATAGGCAAAAGCCACGAACATACAAATAACGTAAAAAGGAAATACAGATGGCCCGTGGTCTTACAAAAAAGGTCCATTACTTAAAAAAAATATACGAATGAGCAAAACCTCACGATTCCGCTGTATTCTGAATATTTGTCATATATTAAAGGTACCTCAATACTGTTTATAGTTGGTAAAAATTGGAAACAACCTAAATGTCTGATCAGAGGGACCTGATTTGGTAAGTGAAGGCATTCCTTACATCAGAGATTATTCGGCAGCCCTAAAACACCACATTACAGAAGAAGTTGTGGAGAAATGATCCTTCGATACCATCACATGAAAAATGCACAAAGGGAAAGTCAACATTTTGTAGAAACAGACTTTTGGAAGAATTTAAATGTCTCTGCACAGAAAAAAAGCCCAGAGGGATATATTCTCACACATTTGTAATATTTGTGTTTGGATATCACTGTATTCCTCATTTTCTTCTTTCAAAATAATTACACATTAAAACTAAAGCCAAGTAAAGTTACAGGCAAATGCTCCTGTGAGTGTTGAAAAGCAGGGAGGGCTGGCAACACTGAGCAGAGGGGGGCAGGAAGCGGGAGAGAAGGCCCGGATCAAGTTCAGAGACCTGAGTTCAGGTCCTGTTCTCCCACTGTGTGTGCTGTGTGACCTTGGACAAGTCACTGTCCCTCTCTGAGTATTGATTTCATCACTTGTGACATGAAGCGGGTATAGCATCATCTCGGAAGTCCTCCCCTGGATGTTAGCTCCTCGAGGCAGGGGTCTGTGTGTGTCACCCATGGCTGTGTCCCAGCCCCAGGACAAAGCCTGCCACATAGTAGGTGCTCAGAAAGTATTTGTTGAACTGAATGGAAGTAAACTTGGGTACTGGAGCAAAATCCAAATAGAAATGAACAGCAGAACAATGGTGGCCTTCGACACCGCCCTCCGCCTCCCCTTCATCTGTTCCCTCCTCCTTCCTTCTGCTTCTCTCTCTTGCTTGCTCTCATGTCTTTGAATTTCTGTCTCCCTTTTTGCATCCTATTTCCTCTTTTTTTTCTTTCTCATTTGCCTTCTCTCTCTTCCTTTCTCTTGTGCCTTCTCTCTCTCTCCATTTTCTCATCTCCACCTCCTTCCAATAGTGATTTTAAGTTCTTGACAAGAGTGTTTAATTCTGATCAAGGGGGAAGCTAGTGGAGAAAACCGTGAGGTACCCCAAGGTCTGTGGGCAGAAGGCACCTGTGGCAGGTTGTCCAGGCCCGTCTGGATGCAGAGCAGGGCTGTGCCCAGACCCCTCTGGTTTTCATTGGTCTTGGCTGGGGCCCTGTTCTGGTACTTGTTAAAAGCTTCTGGGTGATCCTAAGGTGTGGCCAGGGCTTGGTCTCCCCTGGTCTCTGAGGAGAACTGGACAAGACACAAACTGTCACACAGTAACTGGAAGGTCACAACCTTGGGGTATGAGGAGAAGATGCTGCAGTGAGGGAGGGGCTTCATTTGGGGGAGGCTCAGGGAAGCCTCATTAAGGATCTGGCCTTTAAGTTAAGCCCAGAAGGGAGCAGCTGGGCCAGGCAGAAGGGTGGGGAGGAGAGGTGTAGGCAGCAGGCACTAGGGGTGCGAGGCCCCAAGGCAGGAGGGAGAAGGGTCCATCCAAAGAGCAGAGATGGGTGTGGTGAGGCCGGGCAGGCAGGGGTTTTATCTTTCAGGGCAATGAGAAGCATGGAAGGGTTGGAAACAGGAGGGCAACCTGAGCCGGTTTCCATTTCAGTGCAATTGCTCGGCTGCCAAAGGGTGTGGAAAGGAGGGGCAGAGAGCCAGGGGCAGGGAGGGCTTTGCAAGGAGGCAGCCTGCAACCAGTACCCTTCCCAGGAGGATGCGCCAGGCAGCCAGGAAGAACCGCACGTGCGGAGGCCAGCAGGAACCAGCGTGGGGGAACAGGGAGGCACTGTGAGAGGAAGCCAGGACCAGGAGTGTCACGGGCTGTGGTGACAGCCCTGGACGGCCTCCGTGCCTGACCGCAGCACAGGAGCTGATCCCGTGGACTGAGTGGGGGAGGTGAGGGCGGACTTGCAGGTCAGAGGGTCCCTGGCAGCTGCGGGCAGGACGGGAGGGGAAGCAGGAGGCCCAGTTAGTGGCCAACGCAGGGGTCTGCTGAGAGCAGGTGAGGACCTGGGCACGGGCACGGGGCATGACCTGTCCATTTCCGTTTCTCCCTCCCCTAGCAGAGCACCTGACCCACAGTAGGAGCTTAATAAATGTTTGCTGAATAAACGCACGGCAAGTCCGAAATGTCTGCCTTTCTGCACATTCTGTCTATCCATCCAACTGTCAAACCTTTATTGAGCACCTAGTGTGTGCCAGTCTGTAGTGTCAGTGCGGACCGAATGAAGGCCAGTTTCCTTCCTGAACAGCCTCAGGTCTAGTGTGGGAGCAGGTGGGAAGCAAACAGCGCCCCTTAGAACTGGGCTAGGCGTACCCGGGGCAGTGGGAACCTGCAGGAGACTTGTGCCCTGGCCCCTCGCGGGTGGTGGCTGGAGCCGCAGTCAAGGGGCTGCCTCTAACGTGCTCTGCGGGGCGGGGGGTGGGCATTGGGTTAGGGAAGCTCCTTGCTGCAGCCCAGCTTGCCTTTTGGGGTGAGATCCAGAGGAGGAGGTTGCCACCCGGAGATGCCTGGCTGCGGCGTTTGGGGCCTGTGGACAGTTGAGGGACAGGACTGCCCTGAGGGACAGGCTCCCACCTCGGGTGGATACAGAGGGAACTTTTGCACCGGAAGGAAAGGGGACTGGAGCCTTTGGTGCCACCTTGGGGGGCCCAGAAAAATCTTGGCTGAATGGACAAGCTCCCCATTGTCTGCTAAATGGACGCTGGGTGCTCACAGGAGTCAGTTTGGTTGGCAGGACCGAGAACGCAGGACCAGGGTCCTATGGCCAGGCCACTGCCCTCTGCTGTCCTCACCTGGGGAGGGGATGCAACTCCCTCCAGGGGTCCTTGGGAGGGACTTGGCTGGGACAGGCTTGGAGGGTCCCTTGCAACCAGGGACACTCACAGCTGTCTTGTCTTCTTGTGTTTTTTTCCTCGAGGACGCCCTGGGCTGTGTTCAGGACGAATCGCTGCCCCTGCCCTGGGAGGAGGCTCCGGATGCCTGCGGAAACCGAGGCCCTGACGGGGTGCCTGGACCAAGGGGCTCGGCAGGTGCGTGGGGGGCCCCGCGTGGACATCCACTGATGGGCCAGCTCTCTTATGACATCCTGATGACACAGCAGGGTGGCGGTCCCTGCTCTACAGTCAGGAAGCTGAGGCTCAGAGAGGTAGTGTTGCTTGCTTGATGCCACACAGCTGGGAAAGGTAGGATCAGAGTCCACAATGCCCACGGCAAGGTCTGTGACTTAGGCTCAGCGCGACATTTAGGCTCACTCCCTCAGCCCTCAGAAGGTGCCAACCAGGCGACGCACGTGCCAGCCTCAGGCAGCAGGGGTCCCTTCAGGGGGCTTTGTCTTCGCAGAAGACCGTGTCATGACCAGGAGCTGTTCTACTCCCCGCCCCCGCCCCAGTGACAGCTCAGGTGTGAGACAAGTGTGAAGCCTGGGAGTTGCTGGGACCCCCTTATCCCTAAGTTGTCCCTAACGGGAACCAATATCTCTGCTAATATTCTTGGGTGCAGCTTCCAGGGTCCCTGCTGCAAAAGCCACTGCACGCAGGGAGCCCCAAAGCCACGGTGTCCAACTGGCCGTCTGTGGTTTATGTACAGTTTTCCAAGGTGAAATTCAACTTAAGGATGAGGGGGTCAGTTATACCCAGCGGGGCTGTTGACCAGCAAAGCTGACCTTTCCCCTCCATCCCATTTCTGGGGAACAGAGCTGACAAGTCAAACGAGGTCAGGTTTGTCCTTGGGGAAGGGGGCAGGGCGTGTCTGGCAAAGCCTGGGCATCAACTCCCCTGTCTACGTGCTGACCGTGAGGGGCTGGGGGCCAGGGATTATGACCCTGTGTGACCATGAGGGTGCGGGGCCGGGGAGATGTCGTGGGCTTTGTGGTCAGAAGAGGTGGCTTCCAGACCCCACTCTGCTGCTCACCAGTGGATGTCATTCCGCATCCCTGAGCCTCGGTTTCTCACCTGACAGGCAGTGGTGGCCAGCAGGCCACTTTTGGAGGCTCAAAGGTCCTGAGTCATGAGAAGTGCTGTCTCATCCTAACAGCAGATGGCACTGCTGGTGGCAATCATGGGAAAGCTCCTAGGAGGGTCTTAACTCTCCGGTCCTGTCATTTCCCAGGCCAGCCCTCCGAGGGGCCCCGTGCCTGGGACTGCATCGGGGCTGGACAAGGCACTGCTGTCTTGATCCCAGGCCCGGAGACCACGGACAAGTTCCCAGGAGACCTCGCGGGATCTGACCGTGGACAGGTGAGGCCAGAGGCTTTCTGCGTGCCTGGGGTGCCAGCTGGGTCTGATCAGCCCTACTGTGTGTGCTGCACGGTGTGGCCACCACGCAGAAGATGGGAGAAGGAGGTAAAGAAGCTTGGGGTTTGGAAGAACATTCTGGAAATAATTGAGAGGGAGATTTGAGCCCTGGGTGGGGAGTGGGCAGGAAGGCTGTGTGCCCCAGCTGTGTGCCCAGACCCAGCTGCCACGTAGCAAACTTCATCTCATTGAAACCTCCCCGCCAGCGATGGGGCAGGAGCCATGACCCCCCCCACCCTTCTGCATATGAGGGAGTCGTGATTTCCCAAGGCCTCACAGCCCTCTAGGGGACTGGGGTCCTCACGTCTCCATAGCCCACACTCTGCACCACACTCTGGCCTACGGGTCAGGAGCCTGGCTCCAGCCAGCCCTGATGCGGTTCTGTGGCTCTAAAGAGGGGGGCCTTCCTTGCTCACCTACTTTCATCCATTCACCTCCTGCTCTGAGCCACTGCGTGACGTGCTGTGTCACACCCAAAGTGGGAAAAGAGCAGAGCAGCCCCTGGGGTGGGGAGAGCTTCACAGAGAAGCTGGGGAAGTAGTTAGACAGACAGGAAACCAGGGATGGACAGCGAAAGGGCAGGCCAGGTGGGAAGACCCGCCAGGTAAAGGTGGTGAGGCTGGGAGCGCTGCGAGGTGCGAGTGGGGTCGTGGTCACATGTGAGCCGAGGGCTCCTACTGGGCCTGGATGAAGCCAAGTTTCCTCTCCCGGGCCTCAGCCCAACCTGCGTTTGTTCTCTGAGTCAGGCCAGTCCTCCTCTCTGGTTAAGCTCATTGAATAAGTAAATATAAAAAGATATTCAAAAATATCTATGAAACACCTCCTGTGTGCCTGGGACTATTCTAGGCAGACAGTCCACACCTTGCTGTCCGCTAGAGCCTTCCACAGTGCTGGCAATATTCTGCACCTGTGCGGTCCAGGGTAGGAGCTGTGAACCACACGTGGTTTCTGAGCACTTGAAACGTGGCTGGTGTGACTGCAGAACTGAGTGTTAACTTTCACTGAATTGCTTTAAATTGGAAGAGCCCCATGTGGCCTGTGCGGCTACCATGTTGGACAGTGCAGGGCTATGGGAGGAGTTAAACAATACACACACACATATCCTGCATGATGTGAGTGAGGGGAGGGCGCCACAGAGCGAGGGAAAGGGGGTGAATGGACAGACGGTGGTGGAAGTGGTCAGCAAGGCCTTTTTGAGGAAGTAACGTTTGAGCTGAGATGTTAATGAAGCCAGAGGGTGAGCCGTGGCAGGGGGGGTGGGGGCGGGGCAGAGGGAAGGGCAGGGGCAGAGGCCCTGGAGTGCTAACAGACCCGGGGTGTTTGGAAGACCTGTATGGCTGGGTGAGGAGATGAGCTCAGAGAGATGGGGAGAGGCTCTATGGGGGAAGGGGCCGCTTCACCCCTTCTCTTCTCTTCCCTCCCCTAGTTTACTCCGGCTGAGCCCAGCTTGGGCGAACAGACCCTCCTTCTCATCTGTGGCTGCCCCCCGGGGCAGGACATGGACAGCTCACTCCTCCCGGTGGAGCTGGCCTGGATTTCAGAGCAGAACCTAGCAGCCACCCTGGCCCAGGTGTCCTTCCTCCCAGTGCAGACATGCACACGCCCTCCCTGGGGGCAGGCTGGGGACTCGGCTCCCCTGCCACTACTGCAGCTGCTCCTGGAAGATTCCCCAGAAGAACTGCAAGCCCAACAGGTGCTGGAGGCCAGGCCCCCGCCTGCTTCCTCCGCTGCAGGACACCCCAGCCGGGATCATCGCCAGGCAAGGAGCCACGATGCCTCCCTCTGCCGGGAGTCCCCATGCATTTCAAATCACCAATTTTCCAGGAGAGGCCCCAAGGGCCTAAAAGACTCTTGCAAGGAGGGAGGAGGAACCCCAGAGTGGAGACCGGAGATGCGGGAGGCGAGGAGGACCGGCGGCAGGAAGGAGGATGACCTCGGTGCCAGGGCTCAGTCAAGTCAGGAAAGCCGTGAGAACCTGAGCCTGGAGGCTGGTGTCAGGGCCCCAGAGGGTGTATGGAATGAGCACGGGGCTTCCGAACCCCCGGCTGCAACCTCCTGCCCTGGGCCCAGGCGGGAGCTTCCACTGCCCCTTCTTCAGGGGGAGGCCTCAGTGTCAACGGAGGGTCCTGAATCCCTGAGCAGGAGGGGGTGGGGGGGAAGGCATGTCTGGAGCCCCCAAGAAGGAGGAGAAGGGGGAGAAGGGGGAGGAGGGCTTTCATCATCAGAGGAGGAAGAGGCTCCCACAGCCGCCTTCTCCAGGGCCCACGGCACCAATGGGCCGCCTCCGGCAGGTGCTCCAACCCTTGCAGAGCAGGGCAGAGCCATCAGGAGAGTTCCGGGCAAGGAGGAAGACTGCGTGTGGTCTGGAAATGCTCTGCTTCTCCCAGAGGAAAGCCCTGAGGACAAAGGACAGGAAGAGGAGGAGGAATTGTCGCATCTCCAAGGGTCCAGCCCGGGCCACAGGGATGTCCGGGAGGAGCCTGGCTCCGACGACTGTGAAGCCAAGGAAATGCTTTTCCTACTGCAGGAGGGAGGTTTGCCACCGTCTCCTGGATTGGCTTTATGGCCCGAGGGGGCCCAACCTACCAGTCACTCCCGGGCTCCGAGCAAAGGCCGTGAGGGATCTGCGTTAAAAATAGAGGAATTTGAAGAGGAGATGGAGGGTTGTTTCCAGCAACTCTCTATCCTGAAGCCTGGGAGTGGGGGGCATGGCCAGAAAGCTTCCTCGTTGGCAGGAGAGAACTGGAGCTTTGCTCGGAGATGGCACAGCTGCCAGGAGGACGCGTATCCTCAGCAGGCTTTGGCAAACCAGGATCTCGATATTTGTTATGCCAAGGAAGCAAACCCCGAGGAGCCTGATGAAGACGTTAAGCTGGGAGAGAATGAGGCCCTAGGCACTGGCGAAGTTCTTCCAGGGCCGGTGCTGGATTTGGTCAACCTGAGCCCGGGCCCGCCAGAGGGGCCCTCTGAGTGGGGTCGGAACCAGCTCTCTCAGCAGCCGAGAGCCCTCGAGAGAGCAAGGACGAGCTTTCATCAGCTCATTTCTGGATTGAAGACGGAGAGAAGCAAAGTTTTACGTGACAACGCCAAGCTTCAGGTAGATCAGGAACGATGCCACAGAAAACTGCGTGTCCTGGAAAAAGAGAGGGAGAGAAATGTGAAAAAAATATCTGCACTCAAACAGGATAACAGCGTGCTGTTAGGAGACATCTCTCACGTAAAGAGGGAGCTGGACCAGTACGTGCAGGTCATTTCTGACCTTGAAGACTGTAACAGGAAAAGTTACTGCAAAATTTCTGAGCTCGAAGAGGAAAACGAGAGATTGAAAGGGCACCTTGGGCAGCTCCGGAAAGCCATGTCTGCGAGCATCCGAAAATCCAAAGGCGTGATGGAGTGCATCACCCTGGAAAACTGGGAGCTCAGTGCACTGATTTCGGAACTTGGGGTCAGTTATAAAGAGCTGATAAAGGATATAGTGCTGGGAATAGAAGACATGATCCAAGCCTTCAGAGGGGAGAATGAACACCTTCTACAAAGGATCCAAGTCCTGGAGGGGGAAGTCATGTGGGGGAGCAGCACAGATGGGGGACCTTTGGTGAGAGCAGAGGAGTATCTCCAGGGAAAAAACATGATGGCGGTGGACCAGGTGAACGCTGTAGAAAGGGGGGTGCAGGTGACTGAGATTTCAGGGCAACTGACTGCAAGAGGCCCTGGGCCACCCTCGGAGCAGGAAATGGGTCTGGCTGGAGGGTGGACGGGACCTTGTTTAGGCCTGGAGAATTCCAGGTGCGGTGCTGATTCTCCTGCTACATCACTGGTCTGGGGAAATACCGCAGGATCCAGTGCCCTGCAAGGAAACACCGATGGGGCAGGAGTGAACGAAGCACATTTGGAGAAGGATGACAAAAGACCACGGTGTTCTGCAGACCAAGGGCGAGCTCTGAAGTCCCCACGCAGTGGCCCCCGGGTAGGTTGACTCTGCATGGTTGTTTAATCATCTTGCTGACTTATAGCACTGACCACACCCTTTACTACCATGTCCTCCAGCAGCCCTAGGAGGGAGGAACAGTCACCACCCCCATTTCCCAGATGAGAAAACGTAGGCACAGAGAAGTTAAGTGACTTGCCCAGAGTCACACAGCTAGGAGGGGTTGAGCCCAGACTCTACCTGGGCAGTCAGGCTCCAGGGTCTTTATTCTTACCCTGGACAAGATAATGTGAGTCTGCCCCGCTGCTCAGGCTGTTCAAATTGGTATCTGGTGGGACATGGAGTGGGTGTTTACACTTTAATATTAGAGCTTTTACTTTCAGACCAAGGAGTTTTTCAAGCACCTCAAGTTATAATTCTGCACATTGAGTCTTTTTATTTTTTGGTATTTATGTATTTATATTGAGACATAATTGATATCTAACTGTGTAAGTTTAAGATGTGCAATGTGTTGAGTTGATACATTTCTATATTGCAATCTGATTACCACCATAGCTTTAGCCAACACCTCTATCACACTGAATACTGGGTCTTGAAAGGAGAGAGCAGTGAGCTTTAGAACTCAGTCAAACAGGGTTCAAACCCAGGTCTGTGCTGACTACATCCGTGACTTCTCTGAGTTGTTTTCCTCATCTGTGGACAATACTCGACATTCAGGACTGCTAGGATGAAATTTATTTTTCCAGTGGTCTTGAATGTGTCTGTAGAATATTGAGTGTTGAGTCCTTTGTATATATTCATATCCGATCTCTCTGCCTCTCTGTCTCTGTCTCTCTGTCTCTGTCTCTCTCTCTTTCTCTCCAATTTTATCAGTCATTTCACAGGATCATTTTTTGTTTTTATTGATATTCTTTATTGTATGTCTGTATTTTATTTCATTGGTTTCTTCTAATATCTTCATGGTTACCTTTCTTCTACTTTCTTTTGGTTTCATTGGCTGTTCTTTTTCAGGCTTCCTGTGTTGAAAGTTTGGATCATTGATTTTCAACTGTTCTTCTTTTGTGATTTATGCATTTAAATCTATGCATTTCTCTCTAAGCACTGTTTCAAGTACAACCCACACATTTTGATAAGTTGTACTTTTTATGTCTGTTCAGTTCAAAGTTTACCTTTTAATTTCTATTGTAATTTCTTCCTTGACCCATGGGTTATTTAGAAGTGTGTTGTTGAATTTCCAAGCATCTGTAGAAATTTTTAGTTATATTTTTGCTATCGATGTCTAGTTTTATTTCATTGTTGTCAGAAAACATACACTATATTATTTTATTTTTTATTTTTTTTATTATTATTATTTTTTTCTGTATGGGGGCCTCTCACTGTTGTGGCCTCTCCCTCTGCGGAGCACAGGCTCCAGACGTGCAGGCCCAGCCGTCATGGCTCACGGGCCCAGCCACTCCGCAGCATGTGGGATCTTCCTGGACCGGGGCACGAACCCATGTCCCCTGCATCGGCAGGCGGACTCTCAACCACTGCGCCAACAGGGAAGCCCTGAGATGGCTTTTGAAATCTCCAACTCTGAGTGTGCATTTGTTTATTTCTTATTTTTGTTATGTAAGTTTTAATTCATATGTTTTGAAATTATTTATTAGATACACATGGATATAGGATTATGATGTATTCCTGGTGAATTGACTCTTATCATGATGAAATATCTGTCATTATCTCTCACATTTCTTGCCCTAAGGTTGACTTTGTCTGATATTAAAGTACCACATCAGTTTCTTTTCATTAGTATTTTCATGGTATATAAATTTTTTACACCATCCATCTTTTTGCTTTCGAGCTATCAGTATCTTTAAAGTATGTTTCTTAGAAACAACATATGGCTGTTTTTGTTTTTTTTTTTTAAACTTAGTTCAGTTTGACATCCTCTGCTTTTTAGTTGGAGTATTTGGTCCATTTACATTTCACATACATAATTGTGTAATTGGCTCTATGTTTACCTTCTTGCTGTTTCTTCTATTTGTCTGTTCTGTTCTCTTTTCTTTTATTCCTTCTTTCTGCCTTTGTTTTTGGTATTAGTAAACTATTTTCTATTATTCCATTTTCTTCTCTATTAGCTTATTTTGATACACATTTTAGTGTCATTCTTTTAGTGGTTACCCTAGAAATTTCAAATTGTAGGTATTAATTATTAAAATTTACTTTAAATTAGTACTTTTACCATGTCTCAAATAATTCAAAAATCTTTTAATAGTTTACTCCATTTATTCCTTTTCATCCTTTTCATTGTTTATTTTTGTCAACTATGTTACTTCTACGTATATATACCTTACAAAGTGCTATTACTGTTGTTGCTTTAAACACTCAATAATCTTTTATGTTTATTCATATCTTTCTACATTCTTGTGCTGTTCATTCTGTCTTCTACTTGTGTGGATCTGTTTTACACCCACCTGAAGAACTTTGTTATTTTTCGCTGGTGATGAATCCCCTCAAATTTCTTTTTATGAAAACAATTTTTCAACTCCACTTTTAAAAGATGTTTTTCACTCTGGATTCACAATTTTAGATAGGAAGATATGTTTCCCTCTTTTGACACTTTAAAGATCTCATTTCATTGTCTTCTGGCTCCCACAGTTTCTGTTCAGAAATGGAATAATTTGTCTTTTTTTCCCCTGAAAGAAATGTGTCATTTTACCTCAGACTATTTTAAAGATTTGCTTTTCATCTTTGGGTTTTGGCAGTTAGACTATGATGTGCTTACATGAAGTGTTATTTATGTTTATCCTGCTTGGTTTTTCTGAGCCTCTTGAAACTGTGGAGTCATATCTTTAATCAGATTTGGAAAATTCTTGGCCATTAGTTCTTCAAATATTTTGTTCCTTTCTATTTTTCTCTCCTCTCCTAAAAACCTAGACTGTTTTTTCACTTTATCCCACATCTTTTGGAACTGTTCTATTTTTTTCTCTTTGTGTTATCAGTTTGAATTTTCTACTGACCTGTCTTTTAGTTCACTAAAAGTTCTGCTGTTCAGTTCTGCTGTGTCCTGTCTTCTAATAAACCCATCCATTCGTTCTTAATTTCATTTATTGTATTTTGCAGTAGCATATCCATTTTACCCTTTTTAAAGAGATTCTGATTCTCTGTTGAAATACTCCGTATTTTCATTCATTTTTGTCTGTGTTTTCCTATGTTGTTAAAAAATATAATCATAGTTATTTTGAAGGTCTTGTCTGCTAACCCCAATAACTAGATTATCTCTGAGTCTGTTTCTATTGGCTATTTTGTTTCTTGGTTAAGGCCCACTTTTCTGCTTCTTCATGTGACTAGTAATTTTTTTTTAAATGTTGGACGTTATGTGGAACATGTAGAGATTCCTGCTTATTAGCTTCCTCTAAAGCATGTTGTAAGTTTTGTTCTGGTAGGTAGCTGAATGACCAGCAGACCATTATTCCTGTGCAGGTCTACTTCAGTTTTCCCCTCAGTACCAGGGCTTGATTTTACTCCTCAAGGGTGGTCCTTGCTTCTAGGGCATGGCCTTTCAGTGGTATCAACTGAGTTCCCAGAGCATTCACCAAAGACTCTCCACTTCGGCTACGCCAGAACTTTGCTATCTTTGTAGCAGTGTGTGACCTCCAAAATCTCTTTAGCAATTGATCTCCCAGCTGCTGCTCTCTGCTAGGTCTCAGAGTCTTACACTATGTTGCACCATGTATGATTCAGCCAAGGACCCAAGGGTATTTCTAGGACAGTGTCTGGATTTCTTCTCTGCGGCTCACCTCTCTCCGTTGCTTTGTCCCACAAACCCCAGCTGTCATAGCATTCCTGAACCCCAGTCTCTGATTCTACTTAGCAGGACCACCATGTTCAGCGCGGGATCTATTTCCCTGAACCATGGTTTGGAAAATGTTCCAGGGACAATGTAGAGCTCACCTTGTTGTGCATCCTTTTTCTCATGGATTGTAGCCCTGCATTGGCTGCCATTTAATGCCTGCAAAGAATTGTTTTTATGTACTTCCCTCATATCTTGTCAAATCCCAGCTAGTAAGACCTGGTGGGAACGAAAACTCTGAGAAAGTGAATTTCAAGCTGAGAGTCTCAAGGTTTGAAAGGAGCAGCGAAGGAAGAACATTCCAGGCAGAGGGAGAAGCAAGTGGCCAGCCCCTGAGGCAGGAATGAGCCTAGCTTGCTGAAAAGCAGAAAGTAGCCAGTGTGGCTGGATCGCGGTGGGCATGGGTGGGGCGTGGTATGAGATGAGGATGGGAAAGTTGTCATGAGAAAGATCACGGGAGGCCTTGTAGGCTCTGGTTATGGTCACTTCCAAATGCAGTGGGAGACTATTGGAGGGTTTTCAGCAGGAAAACATGATTAAATTTCTGTCGTAAAATGATGCGATCTTTGATGCTGTAAAGACACAGGGAGGACACAGGGAGAACAGTCAAGAGGATTTTTGCCAAGAGATGATGCTAGAATAGAGGAATTTTTTTTTAATAAAGAGAGGATTCCAGGTAAAAACTAGAGTTAGAATCAATGGGATTTGTTGACCGACAGGAGGCAGAGGGCAAAGAAAGCTTCCTGTTTCCCTCGTCCCAAGTTACAAACCTGATCTTGTTTTTATTTGCTTAAAATAAAAACCTTAAACCCTCTGGGTCTTCCTGTCCCACTTGGTATGAAGTCCAAACTCCTTTTGGTGAGTTATAAACTGGCCCCTGGGGAGCTTCAGCTGTAGACTCTGGGCTCCTAGTTCCTCAACCCGGCCCTCCCACACCCCAGCTTTCTCCTGAGAACTGCTGCTCACCATCTGGGTCTCATTTTAGCGCATCTCCTCCCAATCCCCCAGGATGGATTCGGTGCAGAGGCAACTCAGGCACGTCTCTCCCCAACTCTGCTTTCCGTGGTGCCATTTTGGTAGCTTGCAGTTGGCCATGATGGTATTTAAACCACGGAAATCAGCACATGCTACACATCCGTGTGCCTCTCCCTCCCTGGAGAGTGGTTGTTACGCATTCACCACACACTGCTGGGTGGCAGTGGACGCCTTTGATTTAGTGCTTCCCTGGGGCTCCGGCGGCCTCCTGGCTTCTCCTCACCTCCCTGTGCTAGTGGCTTATCTCTGCGTCAACCTCCCCCACCAGACAGAGCTCCCCGAGGGCCGTGTTCCCCAGGGCTCCCAGCCCAAGTGCAGCCTGTGGCTAGAGCACGTGCCTCTGAGGTCTCTTAGGGAGCAAGTGAGTCATGGGTCCTTCACAAGGGTCACTGAGTGGGGTGGCCCCACGTGGCAGGCAGGGCCAGCCTCCACCCCACACTTTTATTCTCTTTAGAATAACATCCTGTGGATGCTGTCTTAGGACCCTGGGGATGAAGCCCAAATCACCGCAGAGGAGAGAGGCAGCAAAGGCACCAAACTTCCCAGAAAGGCCAAGTCGTTTTGCAAATCTTGGAGCTGGATCTTACGGAACCATTCAGAGTACCCATCTGTTTTTGACAGGGCCCAGCCTGTGAATCTCAGGCCCACAATCTGTGAATTTCTATTAACTAAAAAAAAACAAAACAACACATTCTGCTATCGTATTCCTTGCTTACAAGGGAGAGGCCTCATGGGCCACTGAGTCGCCTTGACTCTGCTGTCTCTGTCTCCCTTCCATCCTCTCTCTCCTGCTCCTCCTGCCATCTCACACCCAGGTCAGGAACACGTGGAAGAGATGATCTCTGTGGGCTTTCCATTCCCGGGGTGGCTGCTTTCAATGAAAGCTAGACTGCCAGGGCCGGGAGCAAAGGCATTTGAGACATCTCTGAGTTTCCGGGACCCTGGACACATTGCAATTGGAACTTTTACTATTAGCAGGGCTGCTCTTTCCCAAGGCCGCCTTAGTAGCATGAATCAAGAGCTTAATGATGCTCAGGGCCTTGACACAGAAATTCCCCTCTGATGATCTCAGGGGAAGAACCAGAGGTGTGTCAGATAAGGCTTTCTATCTCAGCCTCAATTATAGCATCAGTATATTAGAATAATCTGAGCGTTCACCATGCCACAGAATACTGCATAGATACTAACAGGGTTTTTGACATTATTTAATGATATGGAAAAATGACCATGACATGGTATTAAGGGAGGAAAACAGGATACAAAAGATATCTATGGCATATAAACGTATGTAGAAAAAAATATGTGGGGGTGTATGTGTGTGTGTGTGTGTGTGTGTGTGTGTATACGCATATATACATATATATGCATGTTTATGTATATGTATGTATACGTTATTAAAAAATAAAAATTTAGAGTCCAGAACCAGTGGGGGCAGTAGCATCACTGCCATTTGACCACACTTCCCATGGTGATAAATCAGCCCCTTTTTTCTCACTTTCTGCCCTCCCAGAAATTCCCTATTTGATGTTCATATGAAACCCACTCGTGTTTGACCCAAGAAGGGTGAGAGGCTATTTTGTACTGATTTAAGAAGAGTGTTTTGGGAAAATGCAGTATGTTCTGTTCCATAGAAATACATGAAGGTTTAGTGTGATAAGTATCTCATAATTGGACTTGAACACTAAATTTCATTCATCATAGTGTGTTTCAGTATAATGGTGACTGATGTCTATTAAAACAGACTCTGGAGTACCATGCCATTTCACATATTTTTCATGTGTGAAAAAAAAATTTTTTTTTTTTAAAATAACACTCTAGAATGCTATTCTGTGATTCCCTAGACCCTCTCCAACTCTCCCATTCAAGGGTAAGGGCACCTGGGTAAGGGCATAGCAGAAAGACTGAAAATATAAGATAATATATGGATAATAATGATGTTTATGCTGGCTAATAGTTTTTGGAGTGATCTCTGTTACTTTATTTTGTGGAATTTATTGTAAGCAGGAGAACAAATTAAGAAGGAAAACGGGTACTGTCTGTTGGCTAAGGCAAATTACTTGGAAGATTACCTAAGAATTACAGTCAAATCTGTGATTCCACAGCTCCAGGACCCTGAAGCTGAGGCTTCCAAGGAGGACCTCAGGCTGTGCGTCAGACAACTTCGTCACCAAGTGCTGACCCTGCAGTGCCAGCTCCGAGACCAAGGGTCTGCACACCAGGAGCTGCAGGCTTCTCGGGATGAGGCTGCCCGTCTCCGGTGTGAGCTCAAGGACAAGGTAGGCTGGGCCCATGCTTCCCTTTTCCGCCTGAAAACCAATGTTCCCTCACTTGGGAAAGTTTTGAGAGTAGAAAAAAGAAGTAGGTAAGATCTCACTGGCCCTTTCCCACAGTTTGTAAGTATTTATTAGATTTTGAAAGTGCAGAGCAGTATAGGGAAGAAAAACCAGCCTGTAATCCTTCCATCCAGGTAACCTTTGTTAGATCTAAAAATAATAATACATGTGTATGGCTTTTTTTAAAAATCCATCTGCAATTTAGTTGGGGATAGATTATGAGGAAGGCATTTGATTACCTTTTTCTCCAAGTAGATAACCAAATATAACTTCATCCTTTTCAGAAGGCATATTTCCTCCATGGATTGACATGTCCTCCTTTTTGTCAAACAGTTTTTTAAATGTTACATAAATAAAAGCCCTTTCTCTGTAAGGAGGAAGTGGGTGTGAATATAAAAGAGCAACAGGAGAGGTCCTTGTGGAGTTGGAACGGTTCAGTATCTTGTCTGTGGTGGTGGAGACACAAGCCTACACAGGTGATAAAATTGTGCAGAACTTGGTACACACACACACACACAAATGTACACAGGAGAGATCCGAATAAGAATAGTGGATTGGGATTAGCAGATGCAAACCATTATATATAGGATGGATAAACAAGGTCCTACTGTATAGCTCAGGGAACTATGTTCAATATCCTGTGATAAACCATAACGGAAAAGAATATGAAAAATAATATATATATATATACACACATATATACATATATATATATATCTGCATCACTTTGCTGTATAGCAGAAATTAACACAACATTGTAAATCAACTATACTTCAATAAAATAAACCTTTAAAAAAAGAATGGTGGATTGTATCCACATCAATACCTGGTTGTAATATTCTATAGTTTTGCACAATGTTCCCATTAGAGGAAACCAGGCAAAGTACACAAGGGATCTCTCTGTATTATTTTTTTAAACTGTATGTAAATCTAAAATTATCTCAACCTTTAAAAAATGCAGAAAAATATAGTCCTTTCTCCCCCTCAACCCCAACTCCTTCTAACTTCCTTTATTTTAACCCTATCTACCCACATTCAGTACGTGTGTGTACATATATGAAATCATACCATAAGAAACATTCTGCATCTTGCTATTATCATTTAATAAAAAATTTTGGTGATATTTCCATATCAATACATGCAAACTGAACTTCATTATTTTAAACTCTTGCATATTATTTTTCAAGAGACCAAACCATAACTTCCTTAACCAATTCTTTGTTTATGGAAATCTAAATGGTTTCTGTTACTTTGCTTTACAAACGAACATTTTATACATCTGTCTTGGGATATGTTTCTGCTACATCCTAGTGAAAGAGTTACTGGGTCAAAGGCTATGTACATAATTAACTTTGATCGGTAATGGCAAATAACCCTCCAAAATGTTGCATCATGTATACTCCCACCATAAATAAATGAGTGTATTTGTTTGGCTACAACTTGTTACCCTGAATCATATCACACTTTACATTTTTTTGGCAAAGCGATGGGTGAAAATACACTATCAACATTTTGGAGTGATTTCCGACTCCTTCTTATGCATTCTTTGTATAATCGAATACACTATACATGGAGTTTTATGTCCTCTGTCCATGTTGCTTCATAGCCTTTTTGTCCCTTATTTTTTGGACTGTGCAGTAATCTATGGGGTGGATGTGATTTCTGTTCCCCTACTGTTGGATCTATACTTATTTCCATTAATTTATATATTATTGTTTATATACAATAGTTCAGAGAACTGGGATTACTGGTTTAAGGAGAAGAAATAGTGTTCATTCTAACTACATATTGCAAATTTGCTTTCCAAAGTATTGGCACCTACCTCCAAAGCCAAGGCAATTAATGAAGGTATATTTGTCACTGTGCCCTCAACCAGTGTAGGAGGTATGATGACGTTTTTGTCCTGTCTGTCCCTGACCTGTGAAAAATAGAACTCCAGTTACACATGTTAGACCTTTTTACCCTATCCAATATATGTTTAAGTCTATTTTTTATTCTTTTCATTCTTTTTGTCTTTCTCTGCTTCAGTTTGGATATTTCTTTCTAATCCATCTTCCAGTTACGTAATACTCTTTAGGTGAGTCGAATTTGCTCTTAAACTCATTATTTTAGTTCTTCATTTCAGGTATTGTATTTTGCAGTCTTAGAATTTCCATTTGACTAATTTTTTATAGCTTCCAGTTCTCTGATGAAATTCTTGTAATATAATTATTAAACATTTCAATCAAAATTATTTTCAGGTCTGTCTCTGATAGCTCCATTTTACATTCCCACTAACAATGGATGAAGGTCCCAACTTCTCCACGTTCTCACCAACATTTGCTACTGTCTGTCTTTCTGTTGCTAGCCATCCTAGTGGGTGTGAAGTGGTTATTCTCACTGTGGTTTTGACTTGCATTTCCTTAATGGCTAATAGTGTTGAGCATCTTTTCATGTGTTTATTTGCAATTCATATATCTTTTTTGGAGAAATGTCTATTCAGATCCTTTGTCCACTTTGTGATTGGGTCGTTTCTTTTTTTGTTGTTGAGTTGTAAGAATTTGCTATATATTCTAGATACAGTCCCTTATTAGCTATAGGATGTGCAAAATTTTCTCCCATTCTGTTGTCTTTTCACTTTCTTCTCGTCTGTTTTTTAATTGCAAATGCCGCAGTACACAGCTCACAGAAACATATTCATGCTATTTCTTAAACTGAAGTAGAGAGAAGATTTCATCCAAGCCTGCAAATATTATCGTGTGCCTTCCAAATAGAGGACAGTCTGCTTGGAGCCGGCATTTTACTCTTCAAATATATTCAGAAACGTGTGCCAAAATAGGAATATAGAAATGTTCATTAAAGCCTTGTTTGTAAAGCAAAAAAACAGAAACAATATACACTTTCATAAACAAAGAATTGGTTAAATAAATTTTGTTTCAACCTCATGATTAAATAATATGCAAGATTTTAAAAGAATGTGATCGGTTTGTATGTAATACCATGGAATTAACACCACGATTTTATATTAAATGACAAAAGCAAGCTGTAATACATTTTGTATAGTATAGTTTCATGTGTGTATGTGTGTGTGTGTGTGTGTGTATACACATATAAATTCTGATTATGGGTATGTAAGGTTGAAAATAGTATTAGAGGTCAGAAGAGCTCAAGGGGAGAGGAAGAAGTACTTTTATTTATCTAGCTTTCTTGTACTGACTACAGAGGGAATCAGAGTGAGTGAGAAGAATTCTCAGAGCACCTGTCGTATTGTAGCTTATGACTGTGCCTTTTGAATAGAAGACAGTCTGCTTGGAGCCGGCCTTTTACTCTTCAAATATATTCAGAAATGTGTGCCGAAATAGATGCATAGAAATGTTCATTTTGTGGAACAGGAATTTAGGCAGGACTCGGCTGGGCAATTCTGCTCTGCAAAGCATCAGTGGGGATCACTTGGTGGTAGTCAGCTGGATGCTGGGCTAGGCTGGAAGGTCCAAGGTGGCTTCACACATGTGCCTGCCGCAGAGAGTAATAATGATTTATATTCATCGAATGTTGACCAGATGCCAGGCCTTGTCTAAGCACTTTACAGGAATCGAGTCACAGAGTCCTTATCCAATCCTCACCGTTAGGTGGACACTAGTACTAACCCCACTTTACAGATGAGAAAGCTGAGGCAGAGAAAGACTTGAGTTGCTCAGGGTCACAGTTCTAGTGAGTGGCTGGGCTGGGGTTAGGGTGTCTGGCTAGGGAACCTACAGGTTTAACACCACACCAAAGAACTCTGGCACCTCTGCATGGGGAATGGGGAAGGCTTCCTTCCTGAAGTAAGAAGCAATAGAACTGGCCCTGGTAACTGCAGTCTGGCAGAGCTGGCCCTGGCAACTGCAATCTGGCAGAGCTCATTCTCCAGTGCTCAGAGCATCCTTCCTCCTCTGATCTGGCCGAGGAGCTGATGGGAAAGGTCCCTGTTCCCACCGAGAGCTCCTGTGGGGAAAGAGGGGGATAAGAGCCAAGCTCTCTGAGCATGGCTCGCCTGTGGACGCACCGAGCTGTGTAATCCACGGCTCAACGGTTTCAAAAATCTTGGTTCTCTTTCAGCTTGATGCACTTCAGAAAAAGCACCAGGAAGCAAATTTGGCTGTGACTCCTTTGAAGGTAATACGTGTGTGAAATCAATATGAAATGTCCCTTTCAATAGAAAAAAAGAGCTTAGTATTTTTCCCATTAGGAGGTAGTCCATTTCTATTGTGTAAAAACACTGGAAAGAAGAAGGAAAGAGACAAGTGGCACCCCAAGTCCCTATTTGAATCTAGCATTTGCATGTATTTTCTTCCAGTATATTTTATATGTGTCTGAGGTCCTACTATACCTGTACGTCTGTGTCTGGCTTTTTCCACTTGGGAGTATAACCCATATAGGGGCTGTCCTTGTCTTTGCTAGCCTTTGAAGCTGCTGTTCATGCCGCAGTCTAAAGCAGGAGCCACTGCAGTTCATAAAGCTGCCAGACCCTTTCGGGTGTTCAAATCCCTCTGTCCATTCTCCTTCCCTCTCTCCCTCCCTCCCTCTCTCTTTTGCATTATTGCACATAAACACCATGATGCACATTTTTTATTAGAAAAGTTTTCCCCACATATCTAGACATTTCTTGAGGACAGATTCCCAGAAATGACATTACTGGCTCACAGGGTTTAACGTGCTAATTGAAAGTGTAGTTTGGTTGAGGTGACACATTTCACCTCAAATATGGCACTTGGATTTGGGCAGTGGACCTGGAGGGGCTGCTTTTTCTTTCTACTCTCTGGGCAGGGTGGGCTAGGAGGGGCTCTGGCTGGGAGTTAGAAGGACATGGTTGAGCCCCGGGACCCCACTGACTTGCCAAATCCCACTCACTCTGAAATAACAGTAATTCTGCTCGGCTGCTCTCACAGCTTCTTCAGACCCTCCATGGATGGTGTCCATGGAAAAATGGAGAACAAAGTGTAAAGCTCTTGAAAATGGGAGGCTTTCTTGCTCCTTCATTATTTTCATCATTTGCTATATACCATTTACTTAAATGAGGACCGTAACCCCTTGTACACGACAAAGCGCTTTACAAACTCAAGATGGAAAGGGAAACGGTACCAGCACCACGTCATTCACACGAGGCAAGGCCTAAGCAGAAGAGGTCAGACTGCAGGGAGGAGCCATAGCGATCTGGGTTCAAGATCCAGCCCCTCCCCAGGGGCGTCGTTCACCGCTGGAGGCTCAGTTTTCTCATCCACAGATGGGAACTGTGATTCGTAACCTGGCGTGGGAGGTTTTGTAAGGATTCTAATGATGAGGGCCACTCTCTGTTGAATGTTTGCCATGTGCCAGGTACTCCAGACATATTTTCTCAATAGCACAGTTTCTCAACATGTCAGGAACGTGTCAGGAACATGAACGCTACTCTATGGATAGGGAAACTGAGGCTCAGAGAGATGCAGTGCCTTGCCCATAGTCACACAGAGCTACTCAGTGGCAGAACCAAGATTTAACCCAGTTCTGTCTGATGCCAAAGGCTGCATCCTTCCCCTTGGCCTCGCTGTCTCTCCAAGAGCCCAGTGGAGTCATTGTCACCATCAACAATGGCCTCTTTCTTGGGAGAGCTGCACATAGTAGGCGTTCAGCTGATGCTGGCTGAATGGAGAGGCCCCGATGTTTTAGGGATGTGATTCAGGGGGCCTGGGGCACCCCAGCATCCAGGTCAGACCACCCTCCTGTGCTGCCTGCCTGCAGTACTGGGCACCCGGACATCACTGCCTAGACACTGATGTGCAAAGGTCCCTGACCCTCTGGGATGGGCTTAGAAGGGAGTTCTGGCAAGAAGGGGTCATCACCTCCTCCGATGGAGCAGGAGATGGCGAGAGTCTATCAGTCCCTCCGGACATGCACAAATGTGGGAGGTCATTTCATGGTGGGAGGGTCACGAACTCGCATCACTCATGTAACACATCTCTCCCATGGGCCATGCTGTGCCCAGCCACGGCGTAGGGATGGTGCTGGCGATCCAGGGGAGTGTCAGTCTTGACCTTGAGGATCCCCCAGGCTATGTGGGAGACAGACCCAGAGATACAAAGATTAACTGCTGGGGCAGAAGGAAGCCAGGAGCCTGGGCACAGAGAGACCCAAGTCCTGAGCATGAGGGAAGCCTGCCTGGGGAGACAATGCCCAGTCTGGCCTCTGAATGGATCTGTGCAAGGCTTTTCTGGGCTTGGGACATGAGCTACAAAGGAGTGATGAGGAAGTTCTGGGGCACCGGGGTTGGGGAGTGGACCAGTGTGTCCGGAAAAAGAGGAGTGAGAAGGAGGGTGGTCGTGATCGGGCTGGAGAGGCACAGGGACAGGTCTAACCTCTTGTGCATGAGGGCCTGGCTGGGCTGGCCCCGTGTGCGTGCTTTGCCTGCACCATCTCCTTTGGTCCTGGTGCCCTGATGATGCCCAGAGTACAGATGAGCAAGTCGAGGGCTAGAGAGGAGCTTGTCTCATAGCTAGCTGAAGCCCACGCCACCTACCCACCCAGAAGGCATCCAGACAGCAGTGAGGGGCCCCTGGGGTGGTGGGCAGCAGTGCAGCCCATTGTTTTCAAAGCTGGCTCTGGCTTCTGGGTGGAGGGAGGGATTGCAGGGAGGAGGCTGAGCTAAGGCAGGGCTGCTGGATGCAGAGCAGGGAGCCGATGCCCTGCCCCCCAGCTCAGTCATCCAGCCCCCCTGGGAGTCCTGCATGTGTGGACCTACCTGACTGTGTCTTCCCTCCCACCCTTTCAGGCTAAGCTGGCTTCCCTGGTCCAGAAGTGTCGGGAGAGGAACCACCTGATCACACACCTGCTCCAGGAGCTGCACAGACACGGGGTGGAGAACCACCAGCTCTCTGAGACGGCAAGCAACATGGTGAATGACGTGGCTCTGGCTGAGTACGCAGCCACCTTCCTGGCTCCGGGGGTCCCACAGGTAGATTCCCACAGACAGCCCTGCCCTCTTCCTGTTGGGGCTGTGAGCTCAGCAACCTACCCTCCACCTCCCTGCCCTGCCCTGTGTCAATTCAGCATCAGACAAGCACCGTGGCGTTTATTTCACTAGATGGGTCTTTCACGTGTGCCTCAAGACCTTAGCACTTACTGCTTCCTCTGGCAGATTTTTTTGTCTGTCCTGTAGTCCTCCCATCCATCCTTCAGGGCACAGTTCAGGTGTGACCTTGCCCAGGAGTCTGCTCTAAATTCCACGGGCCACAGGATTAGCCACATGCCCCTCCATCCTTCATTGTACGTGGATATGACTGACGTGGGACATTCGAGGGATTTGCCCCCTACTGTTAGGGGAGTTTTGTCAGCGTTTCTCTGTTGAAACCAGAGCTGCTTCATATCCATTTCTGTCTCCCTAGTGCCTGGCACAGAAAAGCTGCTCAGGTAATATTTGTTGAATGAATGAAGCAATGAAGTAAATGAATGAGCATCTCCTCTCCTAATGGTCTACAGAAGCGGGAGGAAACAGGCTCAGAGAGGTTGGAAGTCTCTCTTGAGGTCACACAGCTACCAGGTAGTGCAGATGGTGATGGATACCAGTTCTGACCCAGGTCTAGTAAACACGCTCCCGGGTCTCTGCCTGGCTCTCAACAGTGGTACCTGGGTGTCTGTGTGCATGCAGCACCCTCGGGTGCTCAGCTGAGCCTGTCCATGCGCGCGCGTGTGCACACACACATGCACACACACACACGCAAGCGCGCACACATACTCAGGCGCACAGCCCCATTCCTGGGGACCAGCCAGCTGTGCCCCCACCAGACTAGCTCAGCTCCTGACGATGCGAGGGCGAAATGCAGCTGCTGCTGTGCACGCAGCCAGCCCTGTTTTCCATCTGCCCTCGGGGGGGCCTGCTTTGGGCAGTGTAGCCCCAGGCCTGCGTCACCTTCCTCAGCCTTCCCAGCCCAGCCTCTGCAGGCCGACCTTCTCTGTCCCTTCCTTCCCCCACAGCCTTCAGGGTTTTAGATGTCCTCTCATCCAAATTGCCACACAGCGGACATGGACACCAGGAGGCCAAGGAGCCTGCTCAGGGCCATGGCGACTTTGTTCAGAGCCAGAATTTGAATCCAGAGCCCCAGACTCCCAGTCCAGTGCTCATCCCTTTTCCCGAGGGTTTCAAGCCTCTTCAGAGGCAGAATAAGGATGGGGAGAGAGGTCAGCATCTTGTCAAGGCACCGGGCACAGTCCCTGTGTGCAGAGTTCCAGGGAAGATGTTGGATGTGGCAGGTGTCACCTGGGAGGGAGGCTGGCTGTGTGCTGAGAAGACATCATTGCAGTGAGGGCCCCACCCTCCAAGGGCTGCTCTCGGTCTGGCAGGCTCTGAAATTAGACCCGATTTGTTCACTGGGATTAAACAGGCTGACTTACATTGACCAAATTCACAGAGACTGAGGTATAAACCTGAACACTAACTTAACAATTTCCCATGAGAGATCAAACTATGTGCAGGATGAAATATTGGATGGATGAAAAAATAATCAGCATATTCTCTCCCTATAGTGGAGTTATCTAGAAAGTCAAGTTCATTCATTCATTTGTTCATTTGTAAGTCAATATATATTTATAGTCAGAAGGTTATTCAATGAGAACAGAGAGTGTTAATGGTGTGATCAGCCTCATGCGTTAGTTTCCTGTAAGGATGTGCTCCGCATGCCTCCCCTGGGGCCAGGGTGTCTCCCCACCCAGACCTTTTGAAAGGCTGTGGGCAATCATAAGCTTCTACTTCCTCCTTTTAAGGTGACTTTGAATCCGCCGTGACCCATTTTGCATTATTTTGCAGTTCAGCTCACCAAGAACACCCCCACTTTCATGATCTCGGGGGGTGGCTCACTGTTCCCTCCACAAACCACAAAAGCCTGGCTCTGCCATTTTATTCCACAAATATTTATTGAGCACCTATTGCCATGGTGCTTGGGGTTGGGGAGAAATGGTGAACCAAACAGGCCAAAACATGCATGCAGTCAAGGAGAGAAATAATCATAAATTATAGCAAGTGTCAAGAAGGAAGGGCTTAGACAGAGACTGTGTGTGTGTCTTTGGAAAAGACCTTAATTGCTCTGAGCCTCAGTTTGCTCATCTGTAAAATGGGAATATTACGACCTACTTGGCAGAATGGACATGAAGACAGATGGAGATCATGAAGCACCTTGTGTAGGGATGTCCCACGAGTTAGGAACCTGGTCCTCGGGTGGGCAGTTGCCAAGGGGGCGGGTTCTGGCACCCAGGAGCCCTGGCTTCAAATCTTAGCTCTGCCGCTGTCTAGCTCTGTGGCCTTAGGAGGGGACACTGACATGTATCACTTACCATGGGGGTTTTATGTAACTGACTCAGGTAGTCTTTCCATGGGGGAGGTGCTCTTATTATCCCCCTTTCCAGACTGAAAAACTGAGGCTCAAAGGGGTTACCGGTCGTGCCCAAAGACACACGTCTATAGCAGCTTTCTAGCTCAGCTTTTTGTGTGTTAAATCGTTTGCCTGAGCTGAGCTGGGATTTGAACCTGGCCGTGGGATTCTGTGCACTGAAGCTCCGACCCCTATGTGAAGGGGGATGTGTTGGGTGTCTTGCAGGGCTGTGGGGCATGTGGGCAGCAGCACGGGCTCTGGCACATACAGACTAGGCCTTCAGTGAGTCTGTCCCTCTTGTCGCTGGAAGGCCAATCCTCAGTGTGCAGATAAAAGGCAGTGGGAAAAATAACCCTGTGATGTGTTTAAGAAGCAAAGAGGGCTCCAGGCTGGCTTCAGTGAGGGGTCCCAAGTGGAGGAGTTCTGAGAGGCTGGATGGGAGGTCACGGACACCTGACTGCCCGCAGGGGTGTTTGCATTTGGTCCTTCAGTGAATGGGGAGCTGCTGAAGGGGTGGAACAGGATCGATGTGCTTCGCGAAGAGGAACCCTGCAGGCCTGTGGGCTGGACTGAGCTGCCAAGTCCCAGGCAGGCCATGCACACGGCAGCCAGTTGGCTCCGGCCGGGAACACCCAAGGCCCAGGCAGCCGAGCAGAGCTCTGGGGCCACAGAGACCCTGGTGGCTGCGGTGGCAGCTCCTCCTGCTGGCAGCTGGGCAGGACGTGGGTTTTATGGGTGCTGATTCTCGTTTCAGAGAACACAGATGGAATTCCTGATGGGGACATTGGGCTTAGGCTCAGAGCCCGGGAGGGCTGCCTGGCTGGCTGGGGTGGGGGGGACACTCATGGGCTTGCGGAGGGGATGTGCCAGAGCGGAGAAGCAGGGGAGTCCCAGAAGCACTAAGGCTGGCGTACTTGGGCCCCGGGAAGCTCATGTGCACTGGCCCCTGCCCTTGGGAGGGAGCCCACACTAACCACAGACACCTGAGAGAGGACGGGGTAGGGGGAGCCCACCCGGACAGGCTGCCGTTCATTTATTCACTGGAAGCGGTGATGACGGCCGAGACTCAGAGAGCCTCCTCTGAGCCAGCACTTTCTGTGGTTCACTCACTTCATCCTCCCAACATCCCACTTTGTCAAGGAGGAGACTGAGGCCCAGAGTGGTCAGAGAGCTGGTCAGGTCACAAGCAGGGGTGGCGGGCTGGGGGTTCAGAGCTGGGGTCCATCTGAGCTCCTACCGTTTCAGGAAGAGGGTGCTCACCCCACAGCGGTGGCTCAGAGTCGTTCACCGCCTCCCACTGACTTCCTTTTCTTGCCCTGGTTGGGTGGGAGATAGAAATTGAGCCTCGGTTGGCTCAGCATCTGTGTCCTTTCTTCGGGGCTGCATCTAAGTATCTTAGTCTGTTGGGACTAATTTAACAAAAATACCGCAGACTGGGGAGCTTAAACAGCAAACATTCATTTCTCATGGTTCTGGAGACTGAAAGCTGGGGATCAAGGTGCTGCACGGTGGTGGGGGCTCTCTTCCTGGGGAGCAGACAGCCACCTTCTCACTGTGTCCTCACATGGTGAACAGAGAGGCTGGCTCTCTCACACCTTTTCTTATAAGCACACCGATTCCATCCTGAGGGCTCTGTCTTTATGACCTGATAACCTCCCCAAGACCCCACCTCCAAATACCCACTGAGGGACCAGGACAGGTGCATGGGTGGATGGGGGCTACCCGGCCCTCAGAGCTGCCATCTCCCTGAGCTGGTGTATTGTCCATCCCTTAGAATCCCGGCTGCCACTTCCACAGTTTGGCCTTGCATCCGCCCTGGTGTCCTTCTTCTAGCTCTGCTGGTTCTCTTCAGCTCGGGCATTGGTCCTGAAGCAGGAGGATTCCATGAGGCTAGCTTGGCCAGCTCTCCTACTGTCTTCCATCTGGGAACATGGGGTCTTGCCACCTCCCTGGCTTTAGCTGAGATGGGAGCACAGGGAGGGTGGGTTCCTTCCATTCTTGGACTCCTAAATGGAAACGGGGGGTTCTCAGTTCCACCCCATCCCCCAAACTGGCTTGACTGGGCAGGGCTCAGGGCACCTTCTCAGGGCCTCTTAAGTTCCTACCCCCTCTCCAGTCCCAGGAAACCTATTTTTTCTGGATTTCACCAGGATCTAGGCTATTGACATTCCCAAGCCAAGAATGAGACACTTTCTTTGTTGCTTGTACTCAGGTGTCATCCCCTTCTTGGAGGCAGATGCCCAGGTGCCAGGGGGAAGTGGTTCAGGGGTGCCCTTCTGCCCATGCTTGCAGGGTCCAGCCTGGGGTCAGCTCAACAAATGGAAGGTCCATCAGAGACCTGGATGGGTTCGCCCTGCCTGACTCCCTGCAGTTCCTGGGACGTGAGGATTATTGCCCTCTCTTCAGACACCAAGTTTCACCTGGCAGACAAAGACACCCCAGATCCTGAAGAACTGCCACTCTGTGACAGTCCTCTGTGCCAAGCCACTCGGTGCTCGTCCTTCACCTCCCGAAGCCGCCTGCTCTCTTAGGCCTTGGTAGCAAGGGGCGGGGGTTGCTGACTTCTTGTAAGGCTCTGTGAGGGTTGAACAAGATCCTACCTGAAATTCCCCTCACAGTGCTGTCACATAAAGACACTCACAGAGGATGTAGGGTCCCTTCAAGCAGAACCAAAGTATTGCTCCACTGGGGGAGGTCAGGGGATTGGTGTACTAACACCTGAGGGTCATGGAGACCCCAGCCTTGGAGAGATGCAAGCCACCTGGCAAGGAGGCTGCTAATTCCACTTCCTCCTGCCCTGCTTTTTCCTCTTTTTTCCATGTCCTGGAAACATCTTGCTCTCCTCTGGGCATTGGTCAACAAGATCTATATATGGGCCTTTGGAAATGGAATCACATCTTGAAAGAAGCAGTGAGACTGAGAGCCCTAAACTCCCTTAATTCATTAAATCAACAACCCCAAACCTGGGCCCCCAAGGATCCAGGCAATTATTTTCTCTTGATGTCCTACCTTTTATGAAGTTGAGAATTTTCCCCCAAAAGTTTACCTGGGGAGAGAGGTGGGGGAGTGGAGTGTGTAGGGTGAGTCTTTATCCGTCTGCTACTGTATGTGGAACATTTAGTAGACGTTCATTCTTATTTCACTCTGACAAAACCCTGCAAGGACCATATTAGTGGCTCCACTCTGCACATGGAGAGGACAAGGCTCAGAGAGTTCAGCTGACTTGGCCAAGACCATGGAGCCCGTAAGCAGCAGAGCCAGGATTCAACCTGAGGCTGCCTGGCTCCAAGCCTCTCCAGGCCTATGGGATAAATGAGGAGCAGAGAGCAGGGGAAAGATCTATAGATCTCTGATCAGGTACTGAATGCAGTGGCTCCAGAAGTAGTTCAGTGCCTGTGAGACTACTCTGTGGACACAAAAGTCAATGAAACCTCAGTATCACTTTGAAGAAGTCTGTGTCTAGTAAGACTAGCTCCAAACCCAAGTGTGAACAAAAGCATTCACTTGCAACACAGCAATGAGCAGAGAGAAGGAGACTTATTTGGGAATATAATCCCTGGAGAAGGAAGCACACAAAATAGGCCTTGAAGGATTAAAAATGAAGAGTTTTACTAGCTGGAAGAATGGAGGGAAGGCCCTCTAGGCTGGGAGACCTGCATGAGCAAAGGCACTGGGGTGTGAAGGGTCATGGTACTCAAAGACACACAGTTTTAGGGGATATACGTGAAGTGCTCTCAGAGCAGAGTTACCATTGCCGCTTCACCTCTTCCTGTGTGCATGTGGGGTCCAGGAAGACAACTAGTCCATCAGGGGGTGGTGCAGGGACTCAGGTCCAGCCCGACCTGGTTTCCTGGGTGACTCGGTCAGGAGTCCCCGGTGCAGCCCAGCAATCAGCTCTCACAAGGTGTCGAAGGGACTTCCACACAGAGAGAGTATTTCTCCTGGAGACTCTGCCGTCCGGCTGCCCTCATTTTCCCCCTTTTAACAGCTTTTAAAATGCAGTTTCCCTTTGGAGATTCAATTTGAGTAAAGGAAGTGGAAGCTTTTCCTTGCACCTGTATCCCTGGGAGCAAATCCTGGACCCCTCTGAGGATTGTAGGCCGAGGGGAGGTCCTGCCTGTATTTTCGCACACACAGGGAGGAGTGGATCTGGCCATAGAATGCGCTTTCTGCAGCGGTGAGGGGGCTGATTTTTCCAGTTGCAGTTGTCTGTAGAAGGCTTTTCCAGCTGTGTCATGAAGAATAACTGCTGAGATGTCTTTTCTTGCAGACGAGCCATCACCTGGACGTCGAGTCTGAGAAGACAACAGTTGTCAGAGGTCAGTGTGATTTTCAGTTAGGAATAGTCTGCAGGCTCAGACACAGTCCACACCGGCAGGACAATCTGACAGGTGGGCCAGGGTGGAGAAAAGCCCACGGTCAAGTGCAGATGACTAAAGGAAACCCGACCCCACTATCTTGCACTCTCTTCCCTACTGACTCTGCCTTTTCATTTCACTACTTAAGGAGAACGCATTAGAAAAATACTGCCACTGCCAAAGTGGGCAAATTCTGCAACCCTGTAGTTTCAGTCCCGGAAATTTATCCTAAGTAAATAATTCTATATGTGGAAAAGCTCAATGGACAGGCATATTCATGCCAGGGTATTTATAACAGTGAAAAGCTGTGGGGAAAAACTCCAGTACTGTTAATTAACCCATATTCACTGAGTATGAAGTGCTAGTCACTAAAATGATGCTGATAAGGACCATGTGATAGCATGGGAATTAGGATATCCTACTAAGTTCAAAAAGGATACAAAATGGAATGTATCGGATGACTACAATGATACAACTGTACGTGAACATCTGTGAATGATTGGCAACTTAGGCTAGAAGATAAACTAAAATACCAATAGTGGTTACTTAGATGGTAACATGGGTGGGGTTTTGTTGTTCTATTATTCTTGTTGTTAACAAGAAAATTAAGATGCTATCTGGCCAGAGAGAATTTCCCTAGGCCTTGTTTTCCAAGTGCAGTGTACTATCAGCACTGGAGGAGGGGCGTTCCTAAGGGTTTGTTTAGGGTTACTTTGTTTTCAGGTGCTCAATATAAAAGTGAAGAAAGTATGGATAGAGTTACCTTTAGGCAACTGAGCTGCTCTTGATAACTGCTCGCTCAGCGATTCTTATTACTAGATTCTGTTCTTAAAGCTGTGTGATCTTGGATGAGTTAATTAACCTCTCTGAGCCCCAGACTCCTATCTTTAAAAGGAGGATAACATGATCTTTTTCAGAAGTGTTAGTGCCTGACACACTGCAGGGCGCCAACAAACAAGAAGAGGTGCCTGGCTTCAGTTTTTAGCTGGTCAGGATGGGCCTGCCCTTCTGTACCTTTGTCTTCTATCCCTAAAGTCTGAGTTGGCATCTGTTTTCACAGTTGGAGGCGCATAAATTCTAGCTGGTCCTGCTTCTGCCACTAGTTTATGCAAGTGTCGTCCCTCCTCTGGGCTTAGTTCCTCACCTTTAAAAGAAGGAAATGTACTAGATTAATTTAGTTACTTATTCATTCAGCTTATCTAGAAGGCTGCCGTGCGCCAGATCCCTGATAGGTGTTGTAGGGCTTACAAAAATGAGTCAGCTTCAAAGATGGTGGTCCTTGTGCTGAAGGAGCTTACCGCCTGGTAGTGGACAGTGAAGCAGGCAGGCAATTTTCTAGGATATCCCAAGACCATGGCAGGACCATCAGAGGGCTGTGAATGTGGCACTCAGAGTTCAAATGCACCCAAGAGGGCCTCTGTTGTGGGGTGAAAGGATCTGGGAATGAAAGACAATGAAAAGGCTCAGAGACTTGATGATTTTTTTTAAGGTTATTTTATGACATATAGGGTTTTTCTTAATTTATTCATTTATTTATTCATTTTTGGCTGCGTTGGGTCTTCGTTGCTGCACGCGGGCTTTCTCTAGTTGCGGTGAGCAGAGGCTACTCTTCGTTGCGGTGCTCAGGCTTCTCATTGTCGTGGCTTCTCTTTGTGGGAGAGCACGGGCTTTAGGCACGCAGGCTTCAGTAGTTGTGGCTTGCAAGCTCTAGAGCACAGGCTCAGTAGTTGTGGTGCATGGGCTTAGTTGCTCCGGGGCATGTGGGATCTTCCCGGACCAGGGTTTGAACCCGTGTCCCCTGCACTGGCAGGCGGATTCTTAATCACTGCGCCACCAGGGAAGTCTGACTTGTTGATTTTTAGAATAGCCTTCTGAACTGAGGCTTGACTGAGAACATTCTCTTCTAGCTCAGAAATACCTCCTGAATCCTGAAATGGACAGTGTCCTCCAAAGACCTTTGCATTCAGAGTCCTGGCCTATTCCAGAGGCTGAGTGGCCAGCACAGACAGCTCAACTGGGTTCTTTGAAGGTGAGAGGACGTCAGTCACTTAATTTCTCAAATAAATGTTTTTATTGAAAGTATAACTCACATACAGAAAAGGGTACAACTCGGAAATGTACAGCTCAATGAATTGTCATGGAGTGGTATGTGCCCATAAAGCCATCACCAGGTCCAGAACTAGAAAGTGACCACAAAGCACCCCTCTGTTTTCCCCTTCTAGTCTCTTTTTATTATCTGTTTTTAAATTTTGTGTATTGGGTCATATCATGTGTTCTGTGTCTTGTTATTTTTCACTGAGTGCTAGACATTATGTGTGAAAACGTGAAGATGTAATTTAATAGTGTCTTCATCCAGACAGGACTTCCTTTGTTCTGCACATCAGAACTGATTCAGAGATAATTTTAGTACTTATGAGATCTGTTTTATTCCTTGCTCGCTCTTACTCTTAGGGCATAGCCTTTCATGGTTCCAAGCAAAAACCTGTAATGTTTATCAGTGTCCTTCCCCAGCCACCTCCCACTCCATGAGGCTGTCAAAATCTCTGCTTAGCTTTCTGTCTCTCAGCCACCACAATCACACACAGGCTTCACCTTCGCTTGGGGGGAAATGCAGCCTTCAATCTGGGCCAACTACTCTTGGCTTCTGTCCTATCTTGAATTTTAGTCCCACAAATCCTCACAGGCTTTGTAGCTCTCAGATGGTTTCAAATAGATCTTTTGCTATATTTTGTCCAGCTTTCCTAGATGCTCTTACTGGAGATTTGGTCCAAAATGTCCTCACCAGTCTGAACCAGAGAAGCACTCTGTTTTCCCAGAGAAAACCTATTTTACTCATGATATTTGGAGTCTGACAGGCCTGAGTTCAAATCTCAGCTGTAATTCAGTGTGATGTTGGGTGGATTACTTACTCTGTGTGTGCTTAAATCTCCTCATCTGTAAAATGGGGATAATGCTGCCTACTGCTGATGTGAGGATAAAATCAGATAAGCAGAGTTGAATATGTCTCTGGAAAATAAGAGATGCTCGAAAAAGAAAAAAAAAGCAGCCATTACTTAGGAGGAAACTGATCTTATTCTTGGCATTTTATTTCAACTTATTATTATTGTTTTTCTTCTTCCTTTTATTCCTGTGGCTTCTCTGTTGCCTTCATGCTCATATTAATTTTTTTAATCTAACAAATGGAGCTAATATTTACTTCTCGGGGTCTTTGGGACAATTCAATGAAATCATGCACGTAACATAATTATTGTACTGCCTGCCACAGGCGGTGTTCAATAAAAGACAGCTGGTGTTATTGATTGACCTTAAACTTTTTTTTTTCTAACTGGTGACTTTCATTTCAAATTACTTATCTGCAGGCTTATTATCTAGGAATGAGAACTTCTTTCCAGCTTTGATCTTTTTCTAGGAAAATTACATCTGACTTTTGATCTTTGACCTACCTTATTACAAGCAGGTAGAAGGCATTTTAGGCAAAGGGAATGACACAGACATTGTCATTCAGAGGGGTGAATGCTCCTGAAGCATTGGGGGATTGGTAAGCAATTAAATGAGGCTGCAGCATAAAGGAGAGAGGAGTCTAGGAGATCATAATGATGATGTTGATAAGAACAACAATGAGAAAGAAAACCCCTGCTTCCATTTCTTGAATGGTTACTATGTGCAATGCATCAGCTTTTCCAGTACTCACTATAGGCCCACAAAATCGATCTTGACATTCACTCCACTTCACCTGTGAGAAAAGGTGAGGCACAGAGAGGGTAAGTAGCCAGCCCCAGGTCACACAGCTAAAGAGTTGGGGCTCCAACACAGGCAGTCTGGCTCTAGAGCTGATGCTCTGGTCATTATGTGTCCAGATCGCGCTGGGCCTTCACTGGGGGGATGAGAGTTGTCTCTCCTGCCCCCCTTGAGGTTACAATCTGGAGTTCAATGTGAGAAAAAAACCCTCCAATGTCTGCACTCGGTGATACTGGCCAGAAACTGATAGCAAAGCTTTTGAGGAAATAGTTGGAGCATAAATTGAATGAATGGATGAACCCAAGAGCATCTTAATACTCTTATGGTTCTAAGTTTCTCAAGTGTTCCTCAACCTTCTTCAGAGTTCTCACCACACTGTAGAATGCTGCTGGATAAAATCTCCTCCTTTACTGGACATAATTTCAAGGCCACAGGATAATTTTGTTTCTTTATAGCCAGAGGACAGAATAGTCAATGTAAATGTCTTTGTTCAAGTGCTTTACACAGTACCCGGTCCACAGGAGGCCTTGTTGGGTGGATTTGGATGAAGAGTGAGGCGGTGGGAGGAGGCTGTTGGGCTCTTTCTCTAGAAGTTCATGCGGGCACCTCGTCCTTATCCCCAGCATTGCATTTTGCCCACAGCCTCGGTTCTGTTTAGCTATAACAGGCATTGGGGAGCAGAGCTCTCTGCCCTAGGAAAAACAGATTGCAAGCCGTCTCTCTGGGCCGGCTTTTGGTACGAGCTTCCCATGGTGAAAACGAACTCTAAACAACACCAGGGCATTAGTGACCTAGAAGGAAAATGAGGTCATTTTTGAAGGGAAGTAACCAGATTTGTCATATGTCACAATTATTTTATGGTTGAGCTTAGAGGGAAAAAAAAAAAACAAAAACAGGGGAGTAGGAGGTTGGCATCCAGTGGATATTGCTTTCCTTTTAATGGAAAGGTCATCATCTCTTGTCGCCTTGAACAGCAAAATTTACAGAGGACATGACTCTATGGAGATACCGTCAGTGATCGTCTCTTGTCAGGCCTTTAGATGACCTGGGCTTCGAGCCTTCCCCGCCCCAATCCCCACTGCCTCGTCTGTAACTCAGTGCTGATGGCGTGTGTCTCACTGAGAATGTAATAGCAGCTGCCTGGCACAGAAAGTGCTCAATAAATGTTTGTTATCGTTGCCATCTCTTCCTTGGATAAACTGTGGGACCAAAGGGGCTTTTATGGACGTGTAAAAGTAGAGACCATTTCGTTGTGCTCTTGCCTCCAGCTTCCCTGGCCCTCGGGGCCGACGCCCGACCCTGGAATGTGCCAGGCTTCCATCGCTGTGGAACCAGGGCTCCCTGTACAACGTCTGCAAGAAAAAGGTGGAATGTCCTGGCCTGGCCTCCAAGCTGAGCACCTCCTGCCATCCCCCGAGCTCCTGAGCCCCGCAAGGATCCTGGCTTTGCATCAAGAACTTCGACAAAGCATCTACAGCACTTCCCAGGTCAATAAATCACCGTTGGAGTTATAAATGCAATAGGACCACTCACTCTCTGGGGCCATTTCCTAGACTCCGTAAATATTTGAAGCAGAACTTTCAGAGAACGTCTTAAGAAACTGGTAGCAATCAAAACCCTCATTCAGTGGCAAGTGGCTTTGCCTGTGGCTTGGGGATCTGTGTTGATTGTCAGAGCTCAAGAGAAATACTGGACTTGCAAATTCTTAGGAGTCCAGCTTTGCAAATATCCAGGCAGCAAAGGGAATATTTTCTGTTCCAAAACCTACCGAGTGACCGGCCCAGTGGCTCTCCACTGGGTCTGATGCCCCCATCCCGCAGGGCAAAATTTGACAACGTCTGGAGAAATTATTTGTTGTCACAGCTGGGAAGCTGCCACTGGCATCTAGTGGGTAGAGGCCAGGGATGCTGCTAAACACCTATAGTGCACAGGACAACCTTCTAGAACAAAGAATTGTCCAGCCCAAATGTCAGCAGTGCCGGGGTTGGGAGACTCTGCCCTGATCTAATAGCTCCTAACATTGTCAGCTGCAGAGAACTGTTTTGTTATTTTCCTGCCTGGGGCCCTTCCCCATGTTTTAAAAGGTTTTTGTCTACCAAAGGAGACAATTAAAGTAATTATCTCTTTCACATTTTAAAACCTTAAGACCAGTCAGAACTTTCTGATAAGTCCGTTCATTCAACAGACATTTGTGGACGTCTAATATACACCAGGCAATATGATATGAGGGAGAAAGAGGCGAGTCCACATTGGCCCCTGCCCCAGGGGCTCACAGGGCAGCAGAGGCACACATGTAAACAGCTCACCGTGCAGTCATGGTTAAGTGTGCCGTGAGGTGTGAGACAAAGGGCTTTGAAGGCAGTTCTGCCTGGCTTTGGGGAATGGGAGGTCATTCCAGAAGGAATGGCTGAGCAGAGCCCATAGACCTAACGAGGTAAGGTGTTCAGTACATGGGTGAGGTGGGGAAGGAGGGAACAGCGAGGGCAAAGGCTCTGAGGATGAAACAACCAGAGGGGGGATGTGCAGAGTAACCCTTTGCCAAGCCAGGTGCAAAGAGTCACTGCCTCATCCCTACCCAGCACCGCTTACTTCCTCCGGGAACAGGACCCTGCCCTGACCCACGTGTGGGACCCAGAGGTAGAAGAAGAGTCAAGGGGGCTTGGGCCACAGGTGCCCAGATCCTGTGCCCGGGCTCACCCTTCAGAGACATCATCTCTCTCCTTAGGAGGGGCTGGTGAGGGGCTTGTCACATAAGGACAAGGAAGGACCGGGACAAGAAACCGAGGGCTCCCAGGGCAGTAGGCAAAGCATATTGATTTTATTTTAATGTATTTTAGCTTTGTATGTGGAAATGAAAAGCGCAAAGAGTTCCCACACACCCTCACCCAGCTTCCCCTGACGTTAACACCTTACGTACCTAACCATAGCCCAAGGACAGAAATGAATGCATTTATTTTGAGGAAGACTGGGGGGGGGCATCAAGGCATAAGAAAAGCACATCCATGAGCGAGCATCAGCTCATCAAGCCGCCACCATCTTCATTAGCCCACGGGGCTGTCATGGGTCATCACGTCCGTCCACAGTTCCCTGGATTAGGTCACCAATGGATCCACCCATTCATTTGTTCATTAAGCATTTAATTTAACTGCCATGTGAACTCCGCAACCTCGGGTAGGTGCTGGGAAACAAGGATACAGAAGATGCCCATCTCCATCCTCCAGAACCTCCTGTGAGCCCTGTGGCCCCATCACACACCAAGGAGTCCCCAGATTGGAAACCACTGCAGTCATCACTTTCACGGTTTGAATCAGCACCGCCACCCCATAACTGCCAATTGTGCGGCGTCCTGCAGAGCTGATCTGTACGCTGGTTTGTGCTCACCTCTTCTGCCCTCTCCTCCCTTTTTCCTGGGACAATGCCATCAGCTTTGAGCACCGGGAGTACACTGAAGACAGTCTATGAACCGGCTGATGTCGGGGTGAGCAGCCAGCTAAGCCACAGGGCTGAGCCTGCCGGAGGCAGTCAAGGCCATTTCTGGTCCCCAGATTCTCCCACCAGGTTCAGACATCCGTGTTCTGTCCCTTGAATTCTCCCTCCCGCCTCTGCTCACATGCTGGGCTTCAGCAGAAAGGCCACCGGGGAAAATCCATTAAAGAAGCCGCGGCAATCTTTGCAGCGTGGCCCGATGATTCCATAATAAATCACGTTCTGAAGCCAGGAGCCACTTACTATTAACCTGAGCCGTGAATCGCCTGGGGCTGCACTTTGGATTTCCTCAAGCTGGGTCACTGCTTTGTGCTGTGATTCCTCCTGGTGACACGTTTGCGATGGTGGATGGTAGACTGCGGCATTTTCCTTGCCTCGACCGAAGACTCCCATCCTTGGGAGGGGCCCCGTGTTCCCCTGCTGCCCGCTTGGTGGGCCTGATTGGGCCAGGGCCCAACCTGGTCAGATGCTCCCAGGCGAGGGACAGGACCTGCTCGGGCGACCGAGTGGGGACAGGCAGGAACCCAGCCCGCAGGAGCTGGCTCGGGCCGCCCCTCCCACCACGAGTGACCCAAGGCCTCTGGAGACCAGCCAGATGGACCAGCCCAGCTGCCTCTGCAGAAAACAATTTGTCACACGGGGCTGTCAGCAAGCAGCAGTGGACGCCTTCTTGGGGGGTGCCTGGCCGAGCTACACAGAGAAGGAGCCCTGAACACAGTGAGGTAAATGCACACCCCGCCCCCGCTGCTGCGAACCACCTGGGCTTTTAGGCAAATCGGGTGAGAGGGTTGACTTGACCCCTGGCCAAGCGGTTCAGGTGCTCAGTGCAGCCTCTCCTTGTGCCTGATTCACTGCCATTCACTGCCATGCCCTTCTGGGAGGCATTTTGCTCCTGCAGCAAAGCGGTCTGTTCAGCAAATATTTCCCTGAGAACCTGCCGGGGCAGACGAGGCACTGGGGGGCTGGGTCTCAGGGGTCTCACACCAGGTCCGCGTCCTCCAGGCTCCTGCGGGGATGGATGCGCAGATAGCTGGAGACTGCGTGGCGTAAGCAGGGTGCAGCAGGGAGAATGCAGGGTCCAGGGGCGCAAAGCAGTGGCTGACCAGCGAGGGAGGCGTCAGGGAGGGTCAGTGGTGACTGAGGTGGACCCCGCAGATGAGCAGGGCTCAGCCAGGGAGAGAGTCCTTGCGGGCGGGGGCAAACACACAGGCACAGGCTTGGGGTGGTGTTGGGGGTAGGAAACCAGAGGTGGATGGATATACATGTGCTTCTATAATCCCGCAGTGGAAGGTGCTGTCTTTCTGTGCAATCCCACTGTGACCTTCCTGTTTGATTTTACATGTGTCTTTAGTATAGGGAAGACATTTTCATGCTTCAAGATTCAGAAGGCACAGAAATCTATATGGTGCAAGTCTCCCTCCCAGCCCGGTTCCCCTCCCAGAGGCAAACATGACCCCAGTTCCTTATGACTCCTTCCAGAGATACCCTGTGTATTCTAAGCAGTCACACACCCGCACACACACACGCCCGTTTTACCTCAATGCCTGTGCTCTGGTTTTTTCAGTTCATTTATCTCGGTGATCATTCCCCATCAGAACATAAATTTTGTTCATTCCGTTTTTAAACACTTGCACTGTTTTCCATTGTGTGGGTTTTACTAGCTCCCTTTCAAGGGACATTCGCATTGTTTCTGATCTTTTGCTGCTAAAACCGGTGCTGTCATGAAGATGCTTGTACATCCATCCCTTCACTCACGTGTGAATTCATCTGAGGGCAGATTCCTAGAAGAGGAATTTCTGGGTCAGAGCAGAGAAGCCTTTGTCACTTTGAGAGCCCTGTCCACACCCACTCCCCGCCCCATTTTGAGACTGTACAGTTTTCGCTCCCCCTCACGATGCTTGGGGGTCCCCGCCATCATGCACCCTAGGATGTGCTGATTCAATTCAACATTTACTTTTTGAGCCTCAACCATGGACCAGCGTGGTTTGAGGCGGTGAACTAGACAGATGGGGCCCTGCCCTCAGGAGGAGGGGATACATCAAACTGGGGAGACGGCTCAGTGAACAGGACCCCAGCGAGGGACCGTCCGTGTTTCCATCCTGCAGGCACTGACCGCCTGGACAGGAGGGTGATGCGTGGGCATGAGTGACCTCAGTGCAGGGAACCTGGGATATGGCCACCAGGAACGGACAGCTGATAAGGCCCTGAGGAATTTGGAGGCCAAGGGGGAGGAGAGGAGGTCGCGTCTGGGCTGAGCCATGATGGGCGATATTGTCCTGAGAGCAGAAGTGGTGGCCTGGGTGGAGGCCAGTCAGGAAGGGACCTAGGGCTTCTGAGCTACGCTTATGCCAGAGACTGTGCTCAGTGGTGGACACTCCAGCCCGGGTTTCCCCGGCTGGAGAAGAGGAAGCCGGAGGAGGGCTGGCAGGGGCCGGGGCAGAGGAGGCATGGGCGGACAGTCCCACGTGGCAGTTGGTACCCAGGCCGGCTCTCCCGAGCAGGTGGATGGGGTGTGGGCCCTGAACACAGAGTCCTACCTTCACATCCCAGCCCCACCATGCTCCCCACCTGCGGGCCTTGAGCCAAGGCCCCTGAAGGCTTGGTTTCCTCCTGAGAAAATGGAAATAACAGCATCATAACCTCGTCTTACCTCACTGGCATCTCACAGGAGATGCCCCGTGACCAGCGCCTCGCCATGGCCCTCCCAGCCCAGGTGCGCATCCCTCCTTCTTTCCCTCTAATGCTGGGAGGCAGGTGGCCCAGGAGCTGAGCACACATGCCCTGCCTGGGTTTGGGCTCTGGCTCCTCTCCTCACCTCTCCTCTCTGTGCCTCAGTTTTTTACTCTGTACAATGGGGGTGCCTACAGCCTAGGGTGCTTTGTGAGGGGTGAGTGAGTAAAAGCACTAAAAAGAGGCCCTGGGATGTGATGAGAGCTGTGGGAATACTGCCATTGTTTCCTCTTTGATGCCTGTGATGTTAAAAAGCAGAATAAGAAGATGAAGTCCAGGGTGTAAGGAGAGGGCGCGGATCGCTGGTGGTACAGATGGAGACAGAGCTTAGGACTGAAAAGCCTCCCTGAGGAGGCAGGTGTGAAGAGATTGGAGGAAGTGATGGTGCTGTGTCGGGTCTGTGGGTGATGATGCAGCCAAGCTCATCCAGGGCTGTAAGGAGCCGGCCGAGAGCTTTTCAACACTTAACAGTCACAGGAGCTCAATCCCTGTGCGGCTTTGCGCTGACCCTCCCCACCCGACTCAAACCACTGCAGTTCCCTCCAGGGTCTTTGGTCCTCTTCCTTGGTCTGCCTCTTCCCGGAAAGCCTTCCCACGGATTCAAGAGTGTCCAGGCCTTCAGGAGGTGGTCTGGGCTGGTGTCTCCCATTTCCTAAAAGCCCCTGTTTAACATCCATGAGGATGCTCGTTTCCACTGCTTGGGCCGGGCCTTCTCGCTTCATTTGACCCTTGTTAAAATGAACAAACCTAACATAGGCAGTAGAGTATAAGTTGTGCAGCTGCTCTAACATCCAGCTCTGCCACCATCAGCTGTGTGACCTTGAGCAAGCTGCTTACCCTCTCTGTGCCTCAGTTTCCTCCCCTGGAGAAACGATGCAAATAACAGACCCACCTCCCAAAGTGTATCTATCTCAGAAGGATTAAGTAGAGGCTAAATGCCTGCCTCTTGGCCATTTGCAGTGTTGACGTTATCTTCAAGTGCAACTTGCCACCATGCCTTCAAGTAGAAAGCCAGCATCCCCTGCCATCCAGAAAAAGCGTTTTCTAAAACACAGAAATTACTGTTAGGCATGGAAAATAATTTCCTGAGCTACTTCCTCCTCCCTTTGAGTTCAAGTCTACAGGATGCAGCCCAGCCCCAGGCACTGGCCTTCAGCCCCTCAGGGATCTGACCGACAAACCCCTCCAGCTTCATCTCCCCCAACCCTTGCTCTAGCCACAGGGTGACCAAGCACGGCCACGGGGCCCGGCCTCTTCTGTCCCTTCTGCCTGGCCTGTCGATCTTGAGAGCAGTTACAGGGTGCAACAAAGCAGGCTCTGGCCTCAAATTCTGCCCGCCATTTCCTTTCCGTATGACACTGGACCCCATCTGGGCCTCGGTGTTCTCATCTGTAAAATGGGGACACGACCTATATCTTAGGAAGACAATTCAGTGAGGCATAAAGCACGGAGCCTGGCTCACTGTGCAGGCTATTATTATTGTTGTTGTTGCTGTTACATTCGCCACCTGCTAAAGTCAGGGCTCAGCATGTCTTCCCATTTCCGGAGCTGTATAAAATATAGTGCCCCCACTGGCCAAATAACAGCCATCGTCGCCCCAGGCATTGGGCATGCATGGCTTTATCACAGTGTGTCTCTGAAATTCCTCGCTGACTAGCCTGTGAGGGATGGGGGTTTATCCCCATTTTACAGCTGAGAAAACTGAGGCTCACAGATGCCCAGACTGATAGAGCCAGGATTTGAGCCCCAGTCTGTCTGGCTCTGAATCTGAAATCAATTTTTCCTCCATTGGAGCTCAGATCCCAGTACCTGACACACGGGTCCTCACACCTGTACCCGTGTAATCCACCCCCCAGGCATGCTGTATATGTCCCTACCTACTTCCAAGAAGGAGTTAAAGAGACTTAAAATAAAACATGGATACAATAAAAAGAATCTGTATTACAGAGAGTGAAAACTTAGGGTCAGATAATAACTGATGGTAGGAGAGAATAATTATACCCGGCACTAAGGCTATGGGCAGCTATGACAGTTGAATGGAAAAATGAGGTCTGAGCTTCCTGGTAGTCAAGGCAAAAAGGGGAATAACATGGGTTTGACGGCACTGAATTGCCAATAAAAGGAAGCAGCTCTGGAGATCTTTTCCTCCAGCTCTGAGCTCTGAGGGGAATCATCCTGCAGGTTTCTATACAGTGAATGGGGGATAAATGGTGACTTGTGTCCCTGGTAGCACAGCTCCCCAACCTTGGAAGTGGGAAGGAACATCTGATAGAAGCTGCTTCCTGCCTCTGCCTGTGCCAGGGGTCCACACCTGCCTTCATGGGGTTCTCACAGCTCCTTGGGCTCAGCATCATCACGTGTCCTTTACAGACGAGAACGCATAGAGAGGCCTCGACTCCCACGTAAGTTTTCTTGGTTTGTGGGGGATAGGAATCTCAGAGCCAGCGCAGACCTGCCGTGCTCCTAAGCTCTTTCCCCTCTGCTGCACTGCCCAGCTCAGGGAGGCCCTGCCGCTTGGATTATTGCCCAGAGCTAATCCACCCCCCGCATTACTCCTCCCAAGCCCTTCCCCTTCCCCTTCCTGCCCTCCCCTCACACACCCCTCCCCCATCCCTCTGCATGCCTCCCCAACGCACATCAATTCTCCCCTTTGCTAAAATCTCAGCCAAATGCTCCCTACGGCCCCCAAGCCTTCCAGGGCTCAGCTCCAAGACTAGCAGCTCTGTCTGCTGGTAGCTGAGAGTAATTTAGCAACGGGAAGCAGGTGTGAGGCTGGAGGGGGGCGGGGCTGGGTCTCACTGCCTCCAGCTGCTGTTGCTTCCGCCATCCCCATCTCCATCCCTGGGACTGGGACACCCTGGTGTTTGCCTCACACCAGACCAGACCCCAGAGTCAATATCCTCTACCACACACACAAGGGGGAGACTGCAGACAGAAGCTGATGGGTTAAGTCCCAGTGGCCTCAATGGACAACTCCCTATTGTTCCTGACGGTTTATTCATGAGACACAGGTCAACACTGAGGGCCTGCTGTGCCCTGGTGCTATCCCGGGTGCAATCAGCAGAGCAGGATCTGAGCACACCTGCTGAGGGTGTGCGTGGGGTAGTCGGGTCTGTGGTCAGGCAGCAGGAGGCGAACAGACAACCTCCTCGCTCTTCCAGGGCTGCCGCTCTGGTTGTTCACATTGTGTACTGAACAAAGTATATGGTCCAGAGGCAAAAGGGGGTTAAATCCCCCAGCTCTGTCCTTGCCGGGAGACCGTGCCTGGCTGGAGGAGGTGGTGCCTTTTACAAGTTCACCCAGAGACCTGTGGGCTGCAGCCACCTGGAGTGGGCATCTTTTTGTGATTCCGCACAAACGCTCCAGACTAGCCTCAGCACCTTATTTTTGCCGACTCAGACCCAGAAGTGCCAAGTCAGCAGGCTGAGGTCAGCAGGTCTTAGAGGATTCAGGGAGCCCCCAAGGCCTTCCCAGTGCGGCCCTCCTGTTTGCCAAGGGCTGGACAACTAAGCAACTAAGCCCGTGCGCAATAACTACTGAGCCTGCGCTCTAGAGCCCGCAAGCCACAGCTACGGAACCTGCGTGCCACAACTACTGAAGCCCGCGCGCCTAGAGCCCGTGCTCCGCAACAAGGGAAGCCACCACAATGAGAAGCCCGCACACCGCAACGAAGAGTAGCCCCCGCTCGCCGCAACTAGAGAAAGCCCGTGTGCAGCAGCGAAGACCCAATGCAGCCAAAATTAAAATAAATAAATAAATTTTAAAAAATTTTAAAAAGAAAATTCACGTGCTCTCAGTGGAGTAAGGGGCCAAGGGCCTGGCGGCGCATAGCACGGTCACCCTTCACGGTCAGAGCACCCAGCTGAAGGGCCCGCTCAGTTTTCCGGCTCCTCTGACATCTCCTTCCTCCCCACTCTGCCTCCTGGAAACACCTGGCTTTCCTTCTGACTTCTCCAAACACATCTAAACCAAGACATCCAGAAAAGAGTGATCAAATCAAGTCCATCCTCAAAAGGGTCAGGCAGTACTTTTCCCTTCAGCCCCTGATTACGCAGGAAGTTTGGAATATTTTCCCCAAAGTTCCCTTAAGGAAGGGAAGTGGAATGAGAACAGATGGCTTCCTGAAGTCCCAGGCCTGGGAGCTGCTTCCCACTGGCAGTCAGGGGCTGGGAGGAGGTCTCCTGGCTGAGCAGCCCCGGGGGCAGTGACCCCAGCACCCAGCTGCTTTCTGTACAGATTTCAGTCCTCCTGTGTTTAGTCCCGCTCTGCCTTTCCACACTCAGAGGTGTCCCGGGCCCGTTGCCAGCCTTTTCAGTATTCTGAGGTGTGATTTTGCTGCTTCCTGCAGGAATTCAGTAGAGCCAAGAAAGCTGCAAAGTGAGCTTAACTTCTATGCTCTCTTTCTTCTCTTCTTCCTCCTCCTTCTCTTGCCCTGTGTGTGTGTGTGTGTGTGTGTGTGTGTGTGTGTGTCCATCCCCAGGTCAGCAAATCCTCAGCTCTACCGTTAGAATATATCCAAGATCTGACCACTTCTTATGGCCCCCAACACTTTCTTTTTTCAGCCCCATCCCCAGTGCCTAGAACTGTGCCTGGTTTCCACTAGGGGCTCAATAAATGTTTGTTGAATGAATGCATAGGTTAGTTGCTCAACTTTCTTTTAATGGTGCTCCAAGCACCCATTTTACTGTATCTGGTTGTCTCTAGTACAGATCCTGCTGGATGAGAAAATACTACTATCCTTTTCATGTTTGCTTTGGGGGACAGGAAGGAAGTGATTCAGCAGAAGGGAGAGCTGAATTCTAACCCAGCTCCCCTCCCCACCCCATTCCTCCTGCACCGAGAGTTTTGCCGTCAGCTGCTGAAGGAGCAAAGGGCCCAGGCATTGCTAGGGGTCTGGGATGCAATGAAGGTGGGTCAGAGAGTGGAGGCGTCACAGGCAGGGATTGAGAAGGAGGTGGAGGTGGGAGGGTGGGAGGGAAGGGAGATTTCAGACTCACTCCTCATCCTTGGAATTTTTCCCTTGGAAGGACTGGTATTTATTATGCACTGTCTGTCTTACTCCATTTGATACAGATGCTTTATCTGTGCCATTATAATTAGGGCCATGAATTTTCCTTTTACTTTTTATTGGAGTATGGTTGCTTTACAATGTTGTGTTAGCCTCCACTGCAACAAAATGAATCCTCCGTACACATACAGACATCCCCTCCCTTTTGGACTCCCTCCCATTTAGGTCACCACTGCGCATGAGGTAGAGTTCCCTGTGCTATACAGTATACTCAGTTGTCTATTTTATACATAGTATCAATAGTGTATATGTGTCAATCCCAGTCTCCCAATTCCTCCCACCCCACCCCTTTCCCCCTTGGTATCCGTACGTTTGTTCTCTACATCTGTGTCTCTATTTCTGCTTTGCAAATAAGATCATCTATACCATTTTTCTAGATTCCACATATATGCGTTATTATACGATATTTGCTTTTCTCTTTCTGAGTTACTTCACTCTGTATGACACTCGCTAGGTCCATCCAGGTCTCTACAGATGACCCAATTTCATTCCTTTTTATGGCTGAGTAATATTCCATTGTATATATGTACCACATCTTCTTTATCCATTCCTCTGTTGATGGACATTTAAGTGGCTTCCATGTCCTGGCTATTGTAAATATTAGGACCATAAATGTCACCTTATAGATAAGGTGACATCTTTTCTCAGCTTTATATTTGTATTTCTTGTATCATGAAGAGGTTCTCCAAGTGTTGGTTTGCAGGGTAGTGGACAGCAACTTGGAATGACACAGACTGGAATACCAGTACCGGATCTGTCACTAGCTAGCGATGGGACCTACAGAGACATATTCTCTTTGAGTCTCAGTTTCTCATTCCACAGTTTCCCTTGCTTCATAACCATAACCCTCTGCCCTCCATCAGAACAATCATTCCAATGCATTCAGTACAGGTGGCTTTACCGTCCTGTTATTAGGAAAGTCATCTTGTTTAACTATTTCATACTATGTGATGAATGACTGAGAGTTTCTAGGGACATTTGTATTTTGTGAAGAAGATACTCACTAGCACAGGGGAAATTTCAGTTGGCAGATCTGGGGGCAGAGGGATAAAATGAACTGATGCCTTAGAGTGCCCTTGCTTTATAGATGAGGGTATCAAGGCTCAGAGAAGGGGAGAGTGGCTCCCTTTGTCACACAGGAAGTCAGAGATAGAGCTGAGCATGGGGCCTGGGACTTCTGATTCCCACACTGTCTGGTACTCTTTCTATGCATTGAATGCAGGGGAACGTTTTCCATGGGGTATGGGCCTGTGTCATGTAAACTGTATGTCTGCATTGATACAACATGGAGAGAACGTATCATAATTCCTTCTCCAACAATGATCCCTTAGCACGTGCAGTCTTTTTTTTTTTTTTTTTGTCAGCCATGTTAATCTGAGTCTTATTCAACCCAAACAACAAGTCACTCCTCTTGGGAACAATGAGAAAATGAGTGATCAGAGGTTTTCAAAAAGAGGGAGTCTGAGGGACCAGCAGCATGAATAAGGGGATGGAAATGATATCATTCATTACATGGAAGCTTCTGGAGGCCAGAGACAGCCCCCCTTCCTGCCCCTGAGAGGAAGGATGGGCTGGATGAGTATAAGAAAGGCTGACGGCTTGATTTGACAGGAAGTTTTCAGGGGCAGAGCCTGAACTGTAAGCACTGAGTACTGGGAGGACGGGGGGAGAAAAAAATCAGGGTAGTTGATAAAAAAGCAATTCAGATTTTTTTCCACTTCAAGCTTCCAAGTCCCCCTGTGACCCTGAGACCAGATGGGTCCTAACATGCAGGGGAGGCTGTTTCAATTAAAAATGGATTTGGCTGCATCTAATGAAGTCCCAAATAATAATGGCTTAAATGAAATAGAAGTTTCTTTATGTACCTCAGGGCTGAGCATCCATGGGTCTCATGGGGGAGCCATGGGCATCATGCTCCTTCTTTATTCTGTAAGATCTCAGCTCAAAACTTCCATTCTCAAAGTCACCTCATGATACAAGATGGCTGCAGAAGTGTCAGCCATCAAGTCCAAGTTCCAGGAAACAGAAAATGTTATTGTTGGCAGTGGAGTGGTGGGAGAGCTGACTCCCTAAGGAACCCTTTAGGCATTTTCCATTGATATTTTCCAAAGTCTAGAACCTAGTCATATGGCCAAACTTAGCTGCAAAGGAAACTGGGAATATAGTCTGTTAGTTGGACACATGGCAACCCCAACCGAAATTAGTGTACTGTTATAAAAAGCAAGTGGACGATGATCATGAGATTGGCCTCTATGGTCTCGGCCTCGACTAGCATCAACTCTTCAGTTATAAAACCAGGAAGGCATTGAGCATTTGGATTCAAAATCGAATACACCAGGCATGGCCTCACCATTCCTGCTGTTAGCAAAACAGAGCAAATTCATTGGCATCTTGATGAAAATTTAAGGAAGAAAGAACCTGAAAATTTTCTGTTGAACAAGGGGATA